AGAGAAAGCTGCGGGCGTCACGGGAGGACCGCAGGCCATACGAGCGCATTGAATTGAATCATTTCGTCATGGAACGGCGTCAGGGTGCCGATCAGAGCGACCGTCGAGAGTGGTGCAAACCCGGAATGTTGGGAATCAACACCTACAAAGAACAGATTCCCAACCTGCCAAATGCTCTACCGGGCTCGATGTCACCAAACATTGCCAGATTCTTGGGTTTAGACCCTTCGATTGTGCATTTTTTCCACAGATAAAACCAGAGACCAGCATTCGGACTCTTGGCAGAAATCATCTTTTGTCCACACTCGAATGGACAGCGGACAGGTTCAGTCACGATCTGCTTTACCGTCAAAACACAGATGGATACGAGGGCAAGCTGAGAAAAGGTCCTGTAACTCAGAACATGTCTTCTATGACTACTTAGTGTACTCCTTCTGGAGCAGCTTCGCAATAGTGGTCAATTGAATATTGCTCGTCCCCTCATAGATAGCCCCAATCTTGCTATCCCGGAACATCTTCTCCGCAATCCCTTCTCTCACAAATCCCATGCCTCCCATCCACTCGATCGCTTGCCCGCTAACTCTCCCGGCGACTTGCGAGGCGTAGAGCTTGGCCATGGCAGCGTCGCGCACGAAGTCAAGGCCAGCTTCCTTTTTGCGAGAAGCGTTGTAGACAAGGGCACGGGCAGCGCAGATCTCGGTGTAAGCTTGAGCAAGTTGGTATTGCATGCCTTGAAACTCGCCAACGAGTTGGTTGAACTGTTTGCGGTCGTTCCAAACATAGCCAGCGGCGTTCTCCCAGGCCCCTAGAGCCAGACCGGTCATTTGCGCAGCAATGCCGATCCGGCCCTCGTTCAGCAGTCCAATGGCGTACTTGTATCCTTGACCTTCTTCGCCCAGTAATTGATCCTTCGGTATTTCCACGTCGTCGAAGTTGATAACGCACGTACTGCTCGCTCTTATGCCCAGCTTCTTCTCTTTCTTCGCTATCGAGAAACCCTTTGCGCTCTTCTCAACCACAAATGCTGTTATGCCTTTGTAACCTTTACTTGGATCCATGTTCGCAAAGACGATAAAGAAATCCGCCTCCACGGAGTTGGTAATCCACATCTTCGATCCACTTATCTTGTAGCCATCCGCCGTCTTTTCAGCTTTAGTCTTCAAGGCAAACGCATCAGAGCCAGATGCTGGTTCCGAAAGACAGAAGCTTCCAACTGTCTCCGTTGCCAGCCTTGGCAGCCATTTCCTTTTCGACTCTTCAGTCCCATATTTCAATATTGCTGTGTTGACAAGGGTATTGTGGACGTCCACCAGCACACTGACGCTCGGATCCACCCTTGCCAATTCTTCTATTCCAACAATACCCGCCGTAAAGTTCATGCCGGCCCCCCCGTACTCTTCCGGGATTTCAATGCCCATGAGTCCTTGTTCGAAGAGCTGTTCTACCAAAGCGGGATCCATAGATTCAGCTTCGTCCATTGCGCGAACTTTGGGCAGGATGGTTTCCGTGGCGAATTTACGGATGGAGTCGGCCATCAAACTTTCGGTCTCTGAAAGGTGGGTTATGGGCGTGGGGGGAATGGACGAGATGTCGAGAGGGTCGGCCTGACGCGGGTTTGGCGTGGTGGTGAGAGTACGGAGACTAGATTTCACTCAGCATATGCTAATCGATGTAGTGAGAGGTCCAAGTAGAGTGGGTACCATTGATGAGACTTGGGCGTTATTCGTATGCTTAGGGAAGAAGTGCGAGAGGCAGCACGGGCGAGGGGCCGCAGTGCTTTGGTGAAGGCAGACATCTTGGATTGTAGAAGAAAAGATAGGATGGAGACAAGACAAGTAGAGTAGTGTATATCGTCGAGAAACTGGAGGAGGAAAAAGAAGAAGAAGAAGGAGAAGAAGGAGAAGAAAGGAGAAGGGCAAAACGGAGAAGGCTCAACTCAACTCTGGATCAAATGACAATATCCAAATCCACATACAATACTCCGTACCTCGGCATCAATGCTACCCGAAAGTATAAAGGTGAGTTACTTGATAGAGTGAGGACACCAATAGACTCTTCCACTTAGCCGGATGTCGCTTGATCTATTGGTGTCCTCACCTTATCAAGTAACTCACTTTTGGACAGCACGAACCTTCCCGTCGTCATGAAATCTGAAACTCGAATTTACCCTCGGACGTACTCTTTTCTCTTTCGATTACCATTTTACATACAACTGCTTTCGCCTTCTCTTCTCATTCAACGACTTGGCCAACGTTCTGATCGAAACATATATATTCTGTAAAAGTCGTCACCGCTCAAAATGCACTGGACAGCCGTCTTTGGCTGACATGACCAAAGTCATCTTTTGTCGCTCCTTTGCTACCCTCTTGAGACCCTGGCTACTGTGCGATGAGTAGGCCAGCCACTCCTGAGCCTGAGGTCTCTCGAATGGTCCGGCTTCTATCACTGAGAATGTCTGTAATATCCGAACAACTGCGTAAGATGTTTCGGTAAGGCCGAAATCCTCTGTGTCCATCAGCATCACTTCCCATGGGTAAAATTGCACATCGAAGTGACTTACGGCCAAGACACACCCTGGGACCTCCGTTGAACGGAAGATAGCCCCAAGCTGCGTTTACCTCATCACGGTATAGAGGTAAATCTTCCTCCCAACGTTCGGGACGGAACTCTTCAGCGTCTTCTCCGTACAGGTCCTTTCGCCTGTGCATAGCATACACACAGAAAGCCACGTTGTCACCTTTTCGCACAAGCACAGGCGACAACCCATCGGGACCGCCACCTCTTGGTAGGATACTGGTCTTGTGCACGGTCCGTGTATTCACCGGTACTGAAGGGTATAAGCGGAGAGCTGTTTACATAACGCCTATCAGAAAATCAATCTCCACAGTATTTTGGAACGGCAGTACCTACTTTCCTTGAGGACGTTGGCCAGATAGGTCATCTTCTTGAGGTCTTCCCGCTTCAAATCTTTTCCGTCCCCAGCGATCGATTGGATTTCGTCCCGTAGTCTCTTCAAGACATGTGGATTTCGTGGCAAGAGATGGCTAAAATTCAAGCCGATGTAAGCAGTCATAAGATACCTATTGGAAAGAATGAGACCTTACAAAGTCCACGATAGGAGACAAGCGGTGGTGTCTCTGCCCGCGAGCAGAATATTTATGAGCTGGTCGCGCAAAGCCCTTCGATCCCGGGAATCTTCAGCAATGGCGTCGATGAAGACGTAGCGACCGTTCTCGTCACGAGACTTCTCTGTTTTGGTGAGACGCCGGTCAATGATGTTCTCGATAAAGTGGTGTACTGAGGCACACGCTTCTCGGAATCGCCGGCCGCCTATCAACCAGTATAGATCTAAGTATCGATAACGCTGGACCACATAATCTTGAGCAACGTCGAAGCTTTCGGCAAATTGGATATCTTCTCCCGACTGATTTGCTCTTAGGCTATATGTTGATTCTCCGAAGAGGAATGCCGAAGTTGTGTCCAGAGTAAATCGAAAGAAAAGAGGCTGCAGGTCCAGGCTTTGTCCTTTCTCCAGGATACAGCTGATCAAATCGTCCACATGCTCACACAAGATATCAAGGTCTTGGTACTGTTGGCGGGAGAATTGCGGGCGTAACATTTGTCGAGAATGCTTCCATGCGGCGCCATCCTGGGTGAATATACCATCGCCAAGCAATGGAAAGAATATCTGACGACGAAGTCCATACCCAAAATCTGCCCACGGAAGCATCAAGATTTAAGCCAACAATTGAAGCACGCTGGGACGATTCACGTACCAGCAAACCTGGTGGAGAACATGGCCTCTAGGTTTCTCGGCTCGATGGTACCAAATGCTGGGGTGCCTAGGAACTTTTGCTCCAAAGTATTCCCAACATCTTGAAAGTGAAAGAGAAACAGCTCCATAAGACGGTTGTTCTTATCAGCATCGAAAATCTGCATGAGGCGATCGATACCCCATGGCCATCCATTTCGTAGCCGGGGGGCAGGACAGCAGCCATGACTCTTTCCGAATGCTTTTTCCGACTAACAGATCAGATATTGAGGTCATATGACATCGGGCGTCAAATATTGCCAACTGCATGTAAAGGGTTATGGAGTTGAACAGAAGCTTACTTTATATGTGATATACTTTTTAGAGGCAACATATATGTACCAAGCTACTAGACAGAGGATGGTTACCCGCACTATTGATATACCCTGACAAGTGTATGAATCGATTGAGACGAGACGAGAAGAACTTTTTGACATGACGACGGAAATGGTGGGAAAGGAAAGGTGGACAGCGCAATCTGGTAGGGAAATAATATGGGAGCAGTAGTTAAATCATCTTAGGTTGCATCTTGGTAGCACGGCCTTATGCAGGAGAGGAAATGCAAAACGACTCGTGTACGCTCCGTGGCTGGCGCTGAAGCACATTATAGCAGAGTGACCACTGACAAGTGCGGGCACCAGCGGGGGAAGCTCGGATAAGGTACCTTAGGGGGGGCCGGGGCGAGCGGGGGTGCCCGGGATGAGGATCCTGCGCGAGCGGACTGCGGCCAAACTGCCGCGAGCATAAAGTACTTTAGATGGGAACCTACTTTACATGGTTATCGTGCAATAATAAAAAGATCAATAATTTGCATGAAGCCCCAATCAATTATGTCAATCATGACGCTTATGGGAGCGGATTTGGAGAAGTTTGATGGAACATAACAGCGGCTGGCCAACCAGAAGCTGCCCTCCTACTCCATTCGGTACTCAAGCTCACAGAATGCGCTCCCTCGGGATCCTGTTAACTCGGGGGGGAAGCCTTGTTGGCACTTCGACTTCAGAAAGGTTGCATAGCCATCTACTCTGTGCCGGTTGTATGGAAAGTCCAGATGATATGCATAATCAACTAAATCTGGTTTTCCCAAAGCTATTTGCAAAATCTGGTTTGGCTTTCATGATGCTCACAGCAGAAGCGCTCGTGATGGAGTGTCCATTAATGTCCTTTTGACCCGAATGCCATATCAACCATGCCCTCATGGGGCTTGAAGCTCTTACATCCGAGTCCCGCCGAGTCTACATTGGACTCTTTCTACGTTGAGTGAGTCTCTTCATTTCAATCTCCTTTGTGGAGACTGGAGATCTCCTCAACCTATCTGTGTCTTAGCTACGCCCTCATGGCTCTGGTGGCTCTTTTCTTCACCTCTGCAGTTGCTTCTTCTCGTCTTGTCGCTATGCAGTTGGTGGTAATGGTAACGTCAATGACATGCAATCTAATCAAGTCACAGCATAGTCGCCGTTCACGGTCTTGGGGGTCATCAAACAGGGACTTGGACCGACCCTGGAACGGGAGTTATCTGGCTGAGAGTTTTGCTTCCCTTCACTATTCTGACCGCCCGCGTCTGGTCTTTCGGATACGAAGCGAATGCTTCAACTTTCTTCGGAGACGGATCAGCCGACAGGATTCAACAGCATGCTCATACTCTTATTGCCGAACTCGAAGCAGTCCGAGCCCTTAGCAGCGCTGCGGAACGGCCAATAATCTTCGTATGTCACGGTCTTGGAGAGATTTTGGTGAAAAAGGCACTCGCACACTCCGCCACACAGACCTCGAAAAACGTTGACCACAGATACTCCATCTATATATCTACATATGGCATCATCTTCATGGGAACTCCTCATAGTGGGATAGAACACGCTACATGGCAAACAATAGCGCAAGAGGCCAGAACTACAGGTGGAGCTCCCCGCGAAATGCTAAAAGCCCTGACAAAGAACTCGGAAACCCTGCAGAACATAACGGATTAATTTGCACCGCTGATAAAGCAATTCAACATTTATTTCTTCTGGGAGAGCTTTCGTACACAGATGGTTACTGGGAAGGGCTATGTAGTATGTGAAGACTCTGCGGCTCCCATTTGTCACAATACCGAGCGATCTGGCCTACACGCTACTCATTCCGATATATGTAGATTCGCTAGTCCTGAATCTCCCGACTTTCAAATAATCCTCGCTGCTCTGCTCAGATATGCACGAGAAGCCCACAAGACGATCGCCACAAGATGGACCGGCGCAAGGAGATTCCTCGCGACTCAACGGTCAATCGAGGCCTCGGAATTGATCGGCTTTGATGCTCATAATGATAACAAGCCATTCCTCTGCGAAAGCCCTAGGCTTCGTCAAGCGCCTGCAGACACAAGATTGCGCAACAAATATTTCCACGTACCGCACAACGTCAGCAGCATATTCACAGGCAGAGACGCTGTCGCGCGAGTGCTTGAAAGCAAGATTCTCGAGCAGCCAGTACCCGATAGACCACACCAGCAGAAGCGCTTCGTACTGTATGGCTTAGGTGGCTCAGGCAAGACCCAGTTCTGCCTGAAATTCGTCCAAGACAATAGTGATAGGTAAGGCATTGGCGAAAACACTCCATCTCATATCACCTTCCTTTTGGCCCACATGCTAAGCTTACTTCAATTAAGAAACTTACAACGCTAATTGCTGTCACAGATTCTGGGGTATCTTTTGGATAGATGCCAGTACTATCGAGAATGCAGAGAGGGCTTTGTCACAAATTGGTCAGCTTGGAGGATTGGGGGCCACTCACGACGCCGGCATGTACTGGTTGACTGGACTAGATACACCCTGGTTGTTAGTCATCGACAACGCCGACGACCCCACGATTGACTACTCAAGATTCTTCCCGCCAGGCGAGAGAGGCCATATTTTAGTGACCTCCCGCAACTGGGATTGCAAGATCCACGCGACAATCGGTTACTATGAATTTGGGAACATGGAGGAAGAGGATGCGATCACGCTGCTCTTGAAGGCCGCCGATCATGATGGCACACATGACCAGCAAGTCAGAGAAGTTGCGAGACCTATCGCCAAGACACTTGGTTACCTGGCTTTGGCGCTCATCCAAGCTGGCGCGTCCATCAGACATGGCATATGCTCTTTGGAAGAGTACCTTGACGTATTAGCATCGTACAGAACGCAGATCATGAATGACGACTTTGTACTAGTACAAGGCTCTGACAGTTACAAGTACAACATATATACAACATGGGAGGTTTCGGTGCAGAAGATTGAAAGTATGGCATCAGAGACGGCCATGGATGCTATCCAAATCTTACAAGTTTTAGCTTTCATCCATTTTGAGCAAGTCCCAGCCAGCATGTTTGAAAGGGCATGGGCTGTCTCACAGCGTCCGGAAGAGCGTGTGCTACCACAAACGCTCGCAGCCAAGATACTGGAACTCTTCTTGTCGTTCGCCATATTTGCTCTTATATATACCATGATGTTCCCCACAAGGAATTGGAGCACGGAGCCACGTTTGCCCAACATATTACTCCAGCACGGTTCAACATGGAACTTTTATCGGCTTAGGCAAGCTCTTGCCATGCTATCCAGGTTTTCGCTAATAATACAGCACCAAGAAAACGAAACGTGGTCCATGCATCCCATGGTTCATTTCTGGGCTCGCGAGCGTCTTGATACCCGGGATAAGAAGCTCTGGGCTGAAATTGCTGCCACCACCCTTGCACTGTCCATAACGCCTGGATTTGAGCCGTCTGTTCAGGCGTACCGGAGGTCTCTAGTGTCTCACATCGATTCATCATTGCAGATAGAGCAATCACTAACTCTACTCGCGCACAGAGATGACACACATCATGTATCAAAGATTGTCAAGTTTGCTGCAATCTATTCCGAATGCGGCGACTGGATCAAGGCCAGAGACCTGCAGGAAGAGGCGATGAACACCAAGACTAACGCTCTAGGCCGAGAGCATCCCGAAACTCTTGACGCAATGACCGCACTGGCGTGGAGCTATTGGAATCTAAGCAGCAGGAACAAGGCTCTCGAGTTACAGCGCGCCGTGGTGGAGACGAGCGCGATGGCCCTAGGTGCAAACCACTCCAAAACACTCAAGGCAATGAGTAGTCTCGCGTTGACATATTGGCTTTGCGGTAATCGAATCGAGGCCGAGCCCCTGGCCGAAAAAGCCGTGAACGGCTTACAGGATACACTTGGCCGGGGTCATCCTGATACCTTGATGGCAATGGAGATACTCGGCCGGGTCTATATGCACCGAGGGCGACCCCACGACGCGAAGCCATTATTGGTCGAAGTCTATGAGGCACGAAAAACGATGTTCGGCCCAGATAACCCTGACACATTGATGGCTATGGCGGAATTGGGGATGACCTACCATGCTCTTGGGAATTTGACCGAGGCTGAGCTGATTCTTGAAGTAGTCGTGGCGAAGAGGAAGCGAGTCCTTGGACAGCAGCATGCTTACACCTTGTGGGCGATCAACGATCTGTCGAAGATCTATTGCGATCAAGGTCACGCCGTTGAAGCGGAACTACTACTGGTGAATATACTGGAGACGGTGACCAGAACCCTAGGGAAGGAGCATATTGGCATGTCAATGACCAAGATGAACCTCGCGCGGGCATACATTGGCCAGCATCAATGGGCGAAGTCCCGAGATACCCTCACGGATCTGGTAGAAATGCAGGTACGAACACTTGGCCCTAAACATCCCGACACCCTGGCTGCAAGGTCCGAGCTTGCACGTACCTATAGGTACTTGGGAAGGTTGGATGAGGCCGAGGTAATATTTTCGGATCTAATTGACGCGATGAGCAAGATCATGGGCCCTGAGCATCCTTGGACGAAGAAGGCCGAGGGCCAGCTCTCCGCGATTTACATAAGTCAAGGCCGCTTGGAGGAGGCCGAACAATGTGACTTGAGACTCCGAAATTGGGATGCAAAGCTGCCCAAATCTCAAACAATTTGATTCCCCATTAACATCACTTGTCCGTTCATGAGCTTGTGCTTGCTGAAACATACAGGACCAGCCAAATGACTTGAAGCGAAGGGAAGGAAGCACAGAGAAACCTTTCTGAATTTCTCTCTGTATCGGTGGTTCTACACCATCAGAGGCTAGATCTTTCTGACTGATTCAAGGTCGATGTCAGACCAAATTGTGTTCAAGACGTTGTCGGACTCCCAATCCTTGATTGAGCCGTCAAGTACCAGCCAAACCCATCATATCCGCATATGGAAGCAGTCTCGCTTCATCAAGTCATCTCCCACCCAGGGCATATATATGACGGACCGCAACCCTTTGAATAGTTGCAAAAAAGGCCGTTGGGTACACCCTTTCTGCTAGAACCCCCACACCCGTCAATTCGGTAGCCTCAGCAGAACGCTGCGTCCTCAGCATTTCTTTTGCTTGAGACCACCGGCTTTCGACAAGCGCCGGACTCTCCCGCGCATACCTCATCAACGCCGCTACGACGATACGGGATCCCGGTGCATCGCTGTTCTCAAACTTGCACATGTGAGAATGATCGGCAGCTATGCCAGAGCGTTCCGTGTTCTCAAGAATGGGCGCGGCGGAACTCTCGTCGACAATCTCCTTGTTGTCAGCCACGATCAATACAGACAGAATGTAGCAAAAGAGGTGAAATTACATAAGCTTTGCTATGAAGTATCGTGGTCTTCTCTTGTTCCCAGAAGAAGTATATACGAAACCTTTTCATCAAAGGCGCAAATTGGTCTGTCACATTCTGCAACGTTTCGGACCCTTCTCGAAGTGCGTTGAGAAGCTGGCCGTCTGTGTCTACGACAAGTTTTGGTGTCACGGCACTGACCAGACGCCGAGCTGTGCTAAACATTTTTGCTACGTCGCTACCTTGGTGCGGTGTCCCAAGGAAGAGAATTGCGTACGTAGAGACGAAGATTGAATGCAAATGCTCTATATGTGCCGAGGTTCTGCTGGCGGAGTAGGCCAGCGCCTGGAAGCCAAGTCTATTAGACCCATCTAATTTCGGATTGAGAAAGTGCTGAAGATGCCCTTTTGACAATGATACCCCCAAGTGAATGGCATACAAATATAATGGGCCTTTCTGAAGCGCCTTCTATCTATATGTGACCCATTTAGTGGATCAATTGAAGAGCATTCGTACAAACGCTTTATGTCAACAAACATGACAGAGCGGCATGTCTTTAACAGCGCTGAAATGATTGGAGGAAATGAGAAGTATCTGTGGCTATTTCTTCTCGCTGACTGAGAGAAGAGAATAGGAATTGTTCCAGGGACTAGAGGAAGCCATACCTCACGGTCTGCTTGGAGCTGCGCGACAAGAGTGTGCGCATGGTCCAAAATGGTATCGGAGGATGTGCTGCCCATGAAAGAATGCACATTCGCATTGTAACCCCACGTCAGGATCCTGGCGTTAGAAAGAGCTTTAGGGAGCATGTCCTTGTCCCCCAGCCAAGGCACCTTTAATCCCTCGAATGTCCATGTCTTGAGAGCATTGCCATACAAGCCGTGAACTGCGACAATACTGAATGTGTGATCAGGCTGGGGTCTCTAGCTGGACGACCAGGGCGCATACTCCACTGTAGGGTTGATACCTGCATAAAGCTTGATGACTCCATAATTCGTCGTCATTTTGCTCGTCGTTATTTTGCAAACAGTACTATACGTGGGTAATGTTTCTGGAAAGCTTGGGGTAGCGGAAAAAAGAGCAGCACTCAGTGATGTGAAACTGGTAGCTCTGTTATGGCTCTAGTCCGCTTCCTGAGGTCAAGCGGAAACAAACGAGGCTGAGAACATTGGTGAGAGCTAGGTAATGTCGGGGGCATGCATGTATACCGACAGGAATTGATGATGAGATACGCCCGAGGGGCACTCGGGGTAAGCTGCATATCGGCGTCTGGCTATGAGGTTATTCCCGCTCGAAGTGGCTTGATGAAATCAATTATGACCGTCGTTGCAAATGGAATGAAGATGTGCCTAAGCTAAATGCCTCTCTACTGCTACTCTCGCAGTAAATACGCGGCGTCAATGTCTGTAAAGCTTCCTATCTTGACAGTTGACAGCCAATATTAATGGTCTAGGATCGCTCTGCACATCCGCTAGGAGCCTTGGAAGGGAAAGGGGCAGAATCCAGCCTTGGCGCGCTTAACCTTGAACCGTGAACCCCCTTGAATCTTGATGCCTCGGAAAATCGAGATGTACCTTTGATATGAATCCATGACTTTACATTCCCCTTTCCTTTTGTGAAGTATTGAAGCTGCTTTCTTGAGTGACATCCCGTCAGCTTATACGCACCCTGACACCCTGACAGCCATTGACAGATAACCGTTTCCCCACCATACCCCACTACGTGACTACCGGCTCCACTATCAATCCTCTCCACCATGTCTGCCGGGCACAATGAGCCGAAACTGCTCTACAGCGTCGGCAACATAAGTGCATACCACATTCAAGATGGCCAAGAGTCACCTCTCAGCCACTCTGGACCGCAGACCTTGTCCTTGCTCATGGTCCCAACATCATCTCCTTTCGCTGACCTATCTTCCGCCAATCCTTCTAGTGCAGCACCCGAGGAGGACTTCTACCTGCACCTGCATCTCCCCCCAGAGCTCGACCTCTCCCTACCTGCGACAACTCAGATCTACCACCAGCCTCCAAGAAGCTACCTGATCCCACGATGGGATCTAGGACCAGAGAGTGGTGCTTTTACTCGCATCGAGTTTCCTAAGATCGGGACTGGACCTGACAGGGTCACGCAGGAAGATGTTGATACGTTTGAGACGATTCTAGCACAATGCACTGCGTTTCTGGAACGGGCGAGCTTCACATCTGCGGGTGAAAAGAAATATAATCCGGCGGATTTCGCTCCTGGCGAGGGTTATGTTGGCTCTGGCCTGGGTGGCACTGAGAAGGGCCACATTGTCCTTGTGGATGAAGAGGATGGGTCTGTCGTTGGCGAGCTTGGGGAGGGTTTCCACGTTGTTGAGGGCAAGGATGTACACGCCGGCTCAAAGAGTATGATAAACTCTCCTACCAAGGGCATTGAATTGGAAGGAAGCATGCTAACTCTTCCAGGACCTGTTGAGATTCAATTGCCCCAGGAAGGCGAAGGCAACCAGATCAACATCACCAATGCTTCAGAAGAATATCTCAAGATGGCGAAGCATCCTGCCTACAAAGACTCAACCCTGGTGCAAAATGCTGCTGTTGCTTCTCGTCTTATAGTCACGGGATCTGGATGGCTAGCGAATCAGATGACCACCGGGGCAGACAACTTCACTAAGAAGACCAAGCCGAACCCCAAACCTATGACTTTCACTCCGACTACTCAAGCAAGGGTGAGAAAACTGAACAGCGTCACCCAGGGCGCTGTCGGTCTGTCCGCAAAGACCGTTGGCCAAGTCACCAGACATGCGCAGAACCTTGGCGCAACCTTAACTCGCCGGAGCGAGCAACAGAAAAAGAACCATAAAGCTGACAGAGAAGGCTACAAACCAGGCTTGTTGAACAAGTCTATGATGGCGTTTTCGACCATCGCAGACGGCGTCGATTATGCTTCGCGTAACCTTTTGGCTTCGGGATCCAGCGCTGCCACTCAGGTCGTTGGCCATCGGTACGGAGAAAATGCAAGAAATGTTGCCGGAAGTATTGCAGGTGGCGTGAGGAACGTAGGTCTTGTTTACGTAGATGCCGCGGGGGTTTCGCGGAGAGCAGTCATCAAGTAAGTCTCAGTCACTGGACAGCTTATCAACTCGGACACAACGGCTAATTGAACGACTAGATCGGTTGCAAAGGGAATGGTGGTTGGCAGAGCGCCTGGTGGAGGAGACTTGGTAGTTGGCGGTGGAGATGGCGGGGCCATTCCTCCCGAGGCGATGCCTGCTGATAAACCCGGGACCGTGGGAAACCAGAGTATGGGCGCGGGGTCGGGTACGCAAGTTGGCTTTGGCAACAAGACTGCTCCAATAACGGAGAAGTCGAGCTCATTGGGTGAGCCACTGGGCTCCTAAGCACCCCGGCGACCAATTCTCGAACGCCGCCCATCATTTATAAAGCGTCCGCCGGGATCGTTCACCAACCTGTGGCTCCATCGCAACACAAGACAAAACGTATTTGCTAAGACTACCGCTTCGCATATGGATCTGCCCGGGTAGATATTCATGTGGCAACATGCTATTAGGGTCAATGGAACAGGCAAGTCATTTGGCGAAAAAGCCTCAACATAGGACCCGAGCGACGGTACTTTCCACCATGCTCGCTGCCAATGTAGGTGTTAATTTCAGCTGTAAATGTCACTAAAAAAAGAAGGTGTCTGCACCCAAGGAAGAATTGCTGTCAGTCGGATACTCTGCCTAACCTGCTCTCACACCCAAGTTCAAAGGCTTGATGCGAGTCGGTGGGCAGAAGGCAGAAGGCAGAAGGCAGGAGGATTTCCGCGCCTAGGACCTGGCACGTTTACTAATATCTTGTCTGCTGCTCGGGCCTCACTATGATGTGCTTGTGGCTTACCCCGGGTCTTCCCATCTCTCCATAGTCCAAGGGATGGAAGCTGAAACACCTATCTCATGCAGGCAGGAGACTTGAGGCGCAAATTCAAGTCTATTCATAGGTGGAAAATCATTAATCTTAATCGTTTCCTTGGGCGCTTGATGATACCAAACCACTTGAAGTTGAAGTTGCCCCTTGAGACCAGTGAAACATGAGATGAAGATAGGGTGCCTATCTTTGTTGTTATTATTATGATGATTATTATTATTGTAGAATTAATCAGTCCAAGTAGCTGAGCGTTTTGTAAATATATTTGCTAACATCAGCCCTTCCAATCGAAAAGTCTGGGCTGGGCCGCCCAAGAAAAAGTTGCTTTCCTTTAACACCCCCCCCCATGCTCCAAAGAAATTGCGGCAGGGAACTCTAACCGATTCTGAAAGAAAGCGATCCAACTCTGCAACAAAAACAACATCCAGCTTTAAAGCACACCTCTCAACTCTCCCCCCGCCTACCGCTTCCTTACAAGGCCAGGCCGCACCGGCTTCTCGAGGCTCTTGGACGACGCCAATTTTACCAATGACAGCTGTATAGCTTCATTTCCGACCGTCGTTCCCACGCTCCTTCATCTGCATTTCCTTGCCTTTCTCTGACATGTGCTCTTAATTCCCGGCGATACTTCTATACAAACCTTTCGATTTGGCGCACAACCGACATCTTTATACCATCCCAATGACAGAGCATACTCATTGAGTAGAAAGATTGCGCTCTCTGTTCTCTACCATATCGGAGCAGGACAACGCCTTCTACTATTAAGAGCTTCGTCAAGCCCAGCTGCATAGGATACAGCCTGAAATCCTTGGTTTTACACTGACCCAACATCTTTAGAAAATACGATCCACGGCCGACGTCTTCGGTTTTCCTACCACATTGGCCAGCGCTGGGCTTCCAGAACATTCAACCAAGACACAGAGTCTCGGCTTGGTTCTGATAATTGGCTGAGACTCAGCTCTCTGGAAAATTGACTTGTTGCATGGTCTAATTACCAGAAAACTAAAAAGAGGTGGAGCTCGCCGTGGCTCTGCTACATCCCGAACACCGCGAGTCAAGTCGATCAGGACTGCCCGGCGAGATTGGAGTCTCCACGCCACTTTAGAGAGGCACCAGAGGGTCGCAACGGAACAGGGTCATACATTTGGCCTGTGTCAAAGAGTGGGCGGGAACAAGCCGGAGCAGGTACGTTGTCGATTGCTACGATGCAAGTAGCTTCGCAACAGACACAATCACCAGTCGGCCCTGGCACATATGCCGTGGACCCTTCCTTAGCATCACGACGGCAATACTCCCAGCAAACCTCACAAGCAGGTGACCAGAGCCAGAGCCACTCGCAACCGAGAAGCTCACCTCACTCATCGACACGACCATCGACACGGCCAAGCGGTAACGGAAATCAAACTCTGGAGCCTGATGCCTCTCAACAAGCTCCATACCAATCTTCTGCGGGGGCCTATCATTCGAACTCGAGTACTCCTCGCGGTCAGGACATGGCTAGCACTACCCATGCATCCCCAATAATCCCTACTACATCTTCGTCGCCTCCGCATCAGCAGAGTCGGAGAGACCAACGAGGGCAGCAATCACATCAAGCCCGCCCACCAATATCACCACCTCCAAGAACCTCGTCAAATCAACGTGGCCAAAGTATCGGTTTACCATCAAATGCACCCCTTGCCGATAGAACAGCTTCCTCGCGGCAGACTGCTCAAGCGATTGACGAGCGCCAATCTGCATCCCGCAGTGCTGCAGCAGAATCACTGAGTGGTGGTGAACCTGGAATAGACAATGATGCGGCAGCAGCAAGATCACGACGGAGAGGGCCGACTTCGTCGGAAGGACCGCAAAGGGCAACAAGCACCCGAGAACCAGGCTCTCAACAGTCACCCACCGCCGTGGAAAACCGCTCAGCCTCAAATGTAGCCTCCGCAGCGTCTCACACCAGGCCTGGAAGAGATGAAAGCCAAATAATTAACCGAGTCGTGGTGGACGATCCTGCTGTCGACCTCAAACGCGAACAAGAACGGCAATTGGAATCCGTGCCAGGACTAGCGGTCGTGAACAACGTGACCGCTGAAGACGTCGGCAGGGCAGCTCCTCGAAGCAGGCAAGATTATTCGGCCAGTGCAGGAAATCCAGGACGAAGAAAAGAGACGCGATTTGGTGAATATATTCTCGGGCAGACTCTCGGCGAAGGAGAATTCGGCAAAGTCAAGTTGGGCTGGAAAAAGAATGGGGAGGTTCAAGTAGCGATCAAGCTCATCCGACGAGAGAGCCTTGGGCAGAACCCAAGTCGACTGCCCAAGATCTACCGCGAGGTGTCCATCTTGAGGGGCCTCGAGCATCCAAATATTGTCAAACTCCATGAAATGATTGAGACGCCTCCCTACATTGGTATCATTTTGGAGTATGCATCTGGTGGTGAATTGTTCGACTATATCTTGAATCATCGGTATCTGAAAGACAACACAGCCCGAAAGCTATTCGCCCAGCTTGTTTCAGGGGTTGGCTACCTACACAAGAAGGGTATTGTGCATCGAGATCTCAAACTTGAGAATCTTCTGCTTGACCGAAATCGTAATATTGTTATCACGGACTTCGGTTTTGCCAACACCTTTGATCCCCGCGATGAGCTGGGTGAAGACATTGAGAAAAAACTGACGGACCGGGAATTTGTCAGGAGGATGGATCTGGAGCGAGTCCAGAACGGGAGTCGGAGAGGAGATTTGATGGCGACAAGCTGTGGTAGTCCGTGCTACGCAGCACCTGAGCTTGTAGTGACAGATTCTCTCTATACCGGAAGGAAGGTCGACGTTTGGAGTTGTGGGGTCATCCTGGTAAGACACTCTTCCAGCAACCAGATCAACGAACAGTCTAATCTTTGCTATAGTACGCTATGTTGGCTGGCTACCTGCCCTTTGACGATGACCCTGCGAATCCTGAAGGGGATAACATTAATTTACTTTACAAGTACATTACGACTACAGCTCTTACCTTCCCAGAATACGTCACTCCGCATGCTCGTGACCTCTTGCGAAGGATCCTAGTCGCCGACCCCAGGCAGCGAGCGGATCTATTTGAGGTCGCCAGGCATAGTTGGTTAAGCGATTTTGCGCATGTGGTGGCACAAGTCACAAGCAGTACCACGACCGTTGGCGAGATCGCGAATACCACTGTCACAGCAGGTAGAGTCTCTCTCTTCCACACTGTCTCTTACATGTGTTTTGCAGCCACCTTTGCTCTGAATCTGGATGTTTTGCTTGCCAAACTAAAGCTGACTCTGTTCTCACTAGATCCACAAGATGCTCCTCTGCTCGTCCGCAGTGCTTCTGTTAGAGAACCAGCCAAAGCACATCCGTCCAACATGTCTCCTGTTGGCGCGCTCACTCATCAAGGTAAAATTGACCCTGAGCAAGCGATTGAAAAAGCCAAAGCACCTCGTGATCCTAAAAGAAGGACTGTGCAAGTTGAATACGTCGCTCCGCAAAGCCAGACAGTTAGAGGCGAAGGTCTGCCTCTCATCAGCTCACCCGCTACAGATGTCTCTCCTCAAGCTGCTTCAACAGGTCAACAGAAGACTCGCGCCAGGGCCGGCAACGAAGGGCCGGAACCTGTCCCTCGACAATACAGTGCGACGACTAAGTCTTCGCTTCAAGACGCATCGGTTGCACCGGCCCCGAGGTCAAGTCAAGCATATCAACAGGGGCCAAATAGAACCCAGTATCGACCTAGCAGCTCCCAGCGAGACATGGCGCCTCCTTCACGGCCACCTAAGGATCTACCTCGTTCTGTGTCTGAATCTACTAGCGCGTTCGGCCCGCTTCCAACCTCGACCGTAACCAGGCCCACTACTGGAGGGTCTATGGCTTCCACAGCTGGTCGATTACCTTCCAGAGGAAACTCTTACAGTCAACCACTTCCACCTACGGTGGCACCGACAAATGCAGAAGGACGGCTTGCGCAGCCCAAGAGTGGCAAGCAATACAATATCTCAGCGCCGATTCCCCAGTCAGGACCTTACGGTCAGAACGAATCAATCGGCCTGCCAAGCACTCAGCAGTATGAGCCTCCAACATTAGGAGATCACAGAGATCAATCTCGAGGGCACAAACGGTCAAATACTTTGGGAAACTTTTTCAGGACAGGTTCGATCTCTGGTGGCAGGTCGCAACCTCAGTCGCCTGGGGAGCCACAAAGAGAGAAAAGATATCCACCTACAAGCATGAAGGCTCCGATAGCAGCTGATAGTCCCCGGCAATCAACAGATTCACGGCGGCCCTCATTCAGCTTCGGACGGAAGAGCAGCGATTTGAGAAAGATCACTGATCTACCCAAACAGGAGAAGCCACGGAGATTCTCTCTATTGCCCGCTTCTTTCTCATTAAAGGGATTCACCAGCACTGGCAGTGGGAAAGATGCGAGCAACGAGATGAGACCAACTTCTGAGCGGAGGCCGTCGAGCAACGTTCAGTCAGCCCTTTCAAGCCGAGCTCAATCGCGTCCGCAGACCATGGCATACAGTAGAGGCCAAAGTGGAGGCAATAGCTATGGACAAGAGGAGAACTTCCCCGCAACATATGACGGTTCGCGGGACCGTGCACGAGATAGTCCTGTACAACAGACGCGAAGAAAAGATGTCCCTTCTCGAGGTGGGCAGCAGAGCGAATATGACAACCCACAGACCGAGACTCCTCACGATCCTTACCCCACTTCGAAGCCGCTGCAACCGGGCCAATCGTATCTGGATACGCCTACAGAGTCCCAGATATCTATTAATCATCGACGCGAGCGGCCTGTCTATCCTCAGGGTTTTAACGAATACGAAGAAGAGGCAGCCGGTACATCGATTGCTCAAAACCGAAGCGGACGTGGACCGAATGTTCTACAAAAGAACAATCGGAAATTCGCAGATGCGTACGAGGAAGATGCGGATCCAAGTTATGGGGTGGGGGGTCAACACGCCGGGACGTCTGGGGCAGCGAGAAGGGTGATGGATTTCTTTAGAAGGAGAGGCAAAGCAAGAGCCGGGGAGGAGAGGGTGTGAGAGAAAGATATGAGAGAAAATGGTGGACTGTCGAGAAGGGGCGAATGGGATACACAACAAGGGGCGCTATCCATGCAGCCTGCAAGTTGCTCGGCGCTTTCCATACCCCCTTATCCATTCAGGATATAGCAGCGTGATGGAATGAGCTTGCTTGTACATGGTGCGGCGCATTGGAGCAGAGCATTTCAGGAGGCGTCTTTTCCGTCCTTGCTGGAAGAGTTGGGACATACTTATCATTGGGCAGTTTTACTAGAGTGCAAGCTAGCGCTTGGGGCGTGTAATTCGACATATCACAGTGGCACAGTGAAATATTCCCTTGCTGCATGTCTAAAACGGGTGTGGAGAGGTAGAATTAATTCATTGTAATGAGAAGCCTCCTCGCAGGCAATAGATGTGAGCTTGTTGGGATGGACAAGACCATTCTTGGGGCGTTTCAAGGTACACATTGAATGCATCCGAAGCATCATATGACATATCATTCGCTGCCTCCAAAGTACGAGTCTGTACCCCGGGATTAAAGGGCAAGATGTCAGTTGAAAATGAGGCATTCTGATACATGATAGTAATGGATTTGTGTCTCGAGTAAGGTAAGTAAAGTAGGTAGTGAGTAGAGTACTTCATGCAGCTTTCCCCGCATCGTTGTTAGTTAAGGTGTCTCGGGTGTGGGCTTGTTGAAAGGCGGGGTAGTTGCAAATCGCATGTCTAAAGTAAAGTACCTAAGTCATAGGCAATCCTCTAGTAATTAGTGGTAGAGTATGCCTTCCTTTAACTCTTACTCCTTACCCTTGCCTTGCCTTCTACTGTCCTCGACTGAAATACAGCGCTGTCTGCCATAATGGTCATGGACTCGCCTCATGTGTGTATGTGCCAGGATCTGAACAATGCTTGGTACAAGCTGGTCTTTCTGCTATATGCAAGCCTTCCATCTTTTGAACCAGAACCGTTCTCACGGGCTCCAATCCACATCAATTGCCAGTATCGGGCCTTCTGCTGTCTATCCCATTGGAAGGAACGGATCTTCTGGAAAAGCTCTGCACCTTCCTAGCATGGTCCTCAGCGGGCCTTTCCTCTTGCCGTTACCTGCTTTCAACGTCCAATGATCTCCTGGCCCACTTCGTCATAAATGTCATAGCACATGCTATCCTACAGAGTACCTGGAGGTACAAAAGGAGCATGGATGCCCCCACACCGTGGCTAATCGAGGGCGTTTTCCTCTTGTCTTCATCAATATCGATCCTTGGTCGAGCCTTTGCCATAGCACCTTTGCTGGCTTTCACCTACCTTTTTTTCCTTCTCGCTTATGCTATTGGCTGCTTCAAGCTACGCCCACCTAGCCCAGTCATGTTTCATTCTCCCCTCTCCATTTTCAACCTCTTCATTTTCTGCACTCTGCAACTGAGCAGATTTTCCAATGCTCAGAATGCCGTTTCAACGACGACTTCATATGCGGGGACACCAACCAGTTTCAGACCCGTATTCACTGTGCCGTCGTCTGCTGATGTCGGCGCAACGTTGATACCTAACATTGAAGACCCGCAAGCCAAAGATGCTCAAAATGTTTGTCCCGGATACACTGCCTCTAATGTTGCTCGAAACCCACTGGGGTTGACAGCGACCTTGACGCTAGCCGGCTCATCATGCGATGTATACGGGAACGATATCCATACCTTGAACCTGACCGTCCAGTATCAATCCGCAGATCGCCTTGCTATCAGGATTACGCCAGCGGTGATCGACGCTTCGAACTCTTCTTACTACAACTTGCCAAGCTACATTGTTCACCAGCCCACTCCTGATGCTGATGCGAACAGCACGAGCTTGTCAAGCGATCTGAGTTTTGTATGGAGTAATGATCCGACATTCTCGTTTTCCGTCTACAGAGTCTCTACTGGTGACACCCTTTTCTCAACACTTGGGACAAAGCTGGTATTCGAAGATCAATTCGTGGAGTTCGCCAGCACTCTGCCTGATAATTATAACCTTTACGGATTGGGGGAGACAATCCATGCACTCAGGCTGGGAAACAACTTCACTAAAACGATGTATGCCGCTGATACAGGAGATACGATCGACACGTAAGTCGGGTTTCAAGCCCTCCTTGATGATTTTTTGTTCCACACCTGAAGCCCTAAATCCAGGAATTTGTACGGCTCGCACCCTTTCTACTTAGACACGAGGTACTACGAAGCCGACACCAATGGCAATCTTTCGCTGGTCACCGCTAATGAGACTACTGCAACCGCGGACTATGTATCATACTCACATGGAGTGTACAACCGTAACGCCCACGGCCAAGAGATACTTCTGAGGCCAACAAACATCACCTGGCGTCTCCTTGGAGGTAGTATCGACATGTATGTCTTCGCAGGGCCCACCCAACCAGAGATCACCGCAGCATATCAGATGAGTGCTGTCGGGCTACCAACCATGCAACAATACTTCACGTTCGGATTCCACCAGTGCAGATGGGGCTATGCGAACTGGACTGTACTCCAATCCGTGGTCGATAACTACGAGGCGTTCGGGATTCCGTTGGAAAACATATGGACTGATATCGATTACATGAGCCAGTATAGAGATTTCGACAACGACCCCATCCGGTTTAATTACAGCGAAGGAGCGGGCTTCCTATCCGCTCTTCATGCTAGTGGTAAGCATTACATACCCATCATTGACTCGGCCATCTATGTTCCAAACCCATCGAACGCCAGTGATAATTACAGCACATTCGACAATGGCAATGCGACAGATGCTTTCATGACCAATCCAGATGGTAGCTTGTACATCGGTGATGTCTGGCCGGGCTACACCGTCTTCCCCGATTGGATTTCTGGAGGTGCCGGACAATGGTGGATCAACGAGATGGTCAATTGGCATAGCAAGTTGGCCTTTGACGGAGCATGGATCGACATGTCAGAAGCCTCATCTTTCTGTGTGGGCAGCTGTGGTTCGGAGAACATCACCTTGAATCCCGTGCACCCGTCTTTTGCGCTTCCTGGCGAACCGGGCAACGTTGTTTACGGCTACCCAGAGGGCTTCAATTTGACAAACGCCACGGAGGCAGCTTCAGCTTCTTCCGCAGCAGCTAGCCAGTCGTCAGCTAATGCCGCGGCTTCTTCTTCTGGTGATACTATTTATCTAAGGACTATTCCTACTCCAGGCGTGCGGGACGTCAACCACCCTCCCTATGTGATCAACAATGTCCAGGGCGATCTTGCGGTGCACGCAATATCGCCGAATGCCACTCATGCGGACGGTACGCAGGAATACGAACTCCATAATTTGTTCGGCCACCAGATCCTGAACGCGACCTATCATGCGCTCCTGGCCGCAATACCAATAGTGCGGCCGTTCATCATTGGTCGATCAACTTTTGCGGGCAGTGGCAAGTGGGCAGGGCACTGGGGTGGTGACAATACGAGTCTCTTTGCTTATATGTTCTTCTCTATCCCTCAAGCTCTATCGTTCTCCTTATTCGGCATCCCTATGTTCGGCGTTGATACCTGCGGTTTCAACGGCAACACGGACGAAGAGTTATGCAACCGTTGGATGCAGCTGTCCGCTTTCTTCCCTTTCTACCGGTATGTTCAACTCGGAGTCATCCCTGGCCCCTCAATACTCCTAATGGAGTCGTGGAACAGGTTGTGGGAGCGCGGACGGCCTCCTGCCCCCGCTGTACCCCATCGGCTTGTCTTACGGCCTAAATTTGTGTCATGAGAGGGGTATGCTGACTACAGAATAGGAATCACAATACACTTGGCGCCAATTCGCAGGAGGCGTACATATGGTCATCTGTCATCGATGCCAGCAAGACAGCAATGAACATCAGATATCAGCTCTTGCCATACATATACACCCTGTTCTACCTGGCTCATAACACTGGCTCAACCGTTATGCGTGCTTTAGCCTGGGAGTTTCCTCATGATCCCTCCCTCGCAGCCGCAGACCGGCAATTCTTCCTTGGACCAGCCATTCTTGTCACACCGGTCCTAGACCAAGGAGCCACCTCCGTCGACGGAGTCTTTCCCGGCGTGGGCAAAGGCGAGGTGTACTACGATTGGTACACACTTGCTGCCGTCGATGCATCAGCTGGAGAGAACGTAACGATTGACGCACCGTTGGGCCACATTCCTGTCTACGTCCGAGGCAACAACGTGATACCGACGCAGGAGCCGGCGTTGGTGACCAGAGACGCACGGAAGAACCCCTGGGGTGTGATCGCTGCCCTGAGTCTGGAGGGATCTGCGAGTGGGAGTCTCTATGTCGATGATGGCGCGAGTCTGGTGCCGAACGCAACGCTTTACGTCGAGGTAAGCCCCTTTGCTCTCTTCGACTTGTCGCCCTGCGATGATCCGGTCTCTGATCCGGATTAGTTCACCGCTTCAAACAACGCTCTGTACGCCTCAGGGCGTGGTATGTATATAGACACCAACCCGCTCGCCAACGTCACTGTCCTAGGCGTTCAGGATGCCGTTACTAATGTGTCGCTGAACGGCATGGCTGTAGGGGGTAGCAGTGTCAATTATAACGCGTCAAGCAAGGCATTGACGGTGACGGGCCTCAACAATGCGACGAGTGCAGGGGCTTGGAGCAAGGACTGGGTGCTGAGATGGGGTTGAGCCGCTTGTGAACAGAGGGCCAAAGGAGGAGAATCCTGTTAGGCGGTCATGAAAGGCAACGATGTATCTTACGTGATGGCACTCATGATTATATGAAAAAGACGATGAGATAACGCCGAAAACACGACGCTCATACTGTGATCGTTGAAGGTTGTAGTTTGTTTGGGACGAGTCGCTCTCTCGCTGTTGAGCTCAACAATGGACGAGTCTGTACACTACTTGGAGGTTTCTTGTGGTCTGATGCCCAGGAAAATGAATTGTCAGTCATATTGCTGCTGGCCCCTTGCTAGCAAAGACGGGCGACAACCACTGCTCAATGGTTCCTGCCGATGCGGGAAGATGTCCGCCTGCTTAGCAGCAGCACCACCACTGGGACGAAGGTCGTCTTGAACGGAAGGGTCTCCGGCTCTCTGCTTCTCCTGACTGCCGTTGAGGCGTCAACGGAGGCAACCCCTTTTGCTCCCGCCAACTGACCGGCTATCACAAAGTCGTACTATCCACCGCATCCGGTCCCTTGTTCTCACCACTTTCGTCTGCCGCCCCATCGTCGCCCTCCGCGACTCCATCTGCATCCGCCACAACTATGTCCCCGTCGCCGTCTTTGGTCTCATCCTTCCCGTCCCCCTTTTCCTCTTCCTCGTCCGCCGCCCTCCCGACCGTAGCTGCCATCGTCTCACCCTCCCCCCTCCGTCCCAACGCCCCCTCAAGGTCAATCCCACCCGCCAATCCACTCCTCGGGGTCTGCGGTCCCATGTCCTCCATCCCTATCACATCCGGGCCTCTCGCATGCACGGGCTCAATTTCCTCGGAGTCCAGAATGTTTTCGACATCCCCACCCACAGCTCTTGTCGCAGCAGCCGAAGCGGCGGCACTGCTGCGCGTGACCCTTCCGTTCGGTGTAGGTGCTGGTACAGGCACGATTCCGGCTTCTTGCTCTTGACGTAGCAGTTCTCCTTGGGTGATTCCGTGGCTGATGTTGCTGTCGTCGCGGGGGTGGGCGCTGTGTACACCGTTCACGTTCACCGTGACCGTTTCCACCGATCCAGCTCCATTTGGTCCATCGATGACGCTTGTGCTCTCGGTCCTCAAGTCGCTGGTTGGACCGTTATGGATCGGCGTCGGACTCCCCGTAAGCCTTATCCATGGTATCTCCGTCAGCTCAGCCCCGCCAATGAAATCCTTATCCGCCGAACCAGGACTCGGCGATGACGTGCCATTGAGGAGACGACCATTCGTAGTAGCTGCAGGAGTGAGCGTAGCGAGAGGGAAGACGGAAGCTGGACTGGCGACTGAGACGATTCGGTCAAGGGCGCGGAGGTAGGAGGGCAGCGTTTTGTAGTGGTTGGTGGGGTAGAGGAGAAGCTCGGCAAGGCGTTGGGCCGTGTGAGGTGGGGCGGTGGGGAAGCCGGAGCGGAGGGTGGATTGAATGGTACTGAGGAGGGAGAGCAGTGGGGGTGGGAGGGTGTTTGCTGGTGGTAGGGCGGCATTGTCGGTTGTTGGAGAGGATTCGGTTTTGATGGTCGATTTTGAGTCTTCTATTGATGGGTCTGCCTTGATGCCGGCTTGCTCTTCATTCTCGGGAGCTTCCTGTTTCGTATCTCCAGACTCTTCTTGGAAACTTGGTCTCTCTCTGAACGGTTCCTCCTTCAATGGCGGTTCCCGTTTGACGGAGACATGTTCTTCTTTCAGCGACGGTGGGAGGGATCCCGGTAAAGGTATCGATGGCGTAGGGAAGTCATTGTAGGCGATCTAAGTGCGTTAGTCACCGTCGGTCGAGTAAGCTTCCAAAGGTTGTACGTACATGGTCCAATCTGGGCAACAGGCGGTCTAGTAGGCCAGGCCACTCTGCACTGTATGAAGCTCAGTCCGTGTGCCGGTCTAGGACGTAGTGCTAGCCACTGCTGTTAACAAGCTTACTAGTCCATCTTGCCATCCTTGGTCAATTCTTCTAACAGTGCATCATCTACGAACCCAGAGTCAGCGGGCTCTGGTCTTGGTGGTGTGTTTTTCCTGAATGAACGGAAATGTATATGGACGGGCGTGCTGACCTGACGCCATGCTCTCTCTGTTTGGGGGCGATGGTGGGCAATACAACAAAGGTTCAATGATTTGGAGCTGGGAGCATTGATATAACGGCTGTTGGAACATCCCGGCGCGTCAACAATGACTTAGATTACAGCTACGACGTCGACAAGTACTTTGCCGCACTATATGGAATTACTTGTAGTATTAAAAGCAGGACCTTTGCTATTATTCTAATTCACATTCTATGTATTGGGAAATGGCCGTTTCTTGACTATCTCTACTCCAGTCCACAATAGCTCCTTTTTTTCCCCGCGCTCTTGGGGTTTCAACGAGACGACATCTAAAACACTGGGAGTGAAATCGTTCTGAAACGAGAATGGTCAATTTTGTTCATGATGTCCGCGAAAGCCATGAACGCCACATCACACCAGTTCCTGCCATCCCTAATCGTGAAATAGAACAGATAGTATCGGAGGGATAAAAAATAGGCATACATTGACCACGAAGGGCCTCAGGTATCAAAATTGCCAAATACCAGTGATATCGAATGCACATCCGGGCAAGACTTCCTGTGCTTGCCTCGCCTGACTGTTTGATGATTCCCTTATTCTTCCCAAACAAGAACGCCGGCCAACCTTTTCCGAAAGATGTGCTTCTCGTTCAATCAATCGTCATACGGCTGGGTACTGGACCATGCGAGAGATTAGGCATCTCCATCATATTTGGCTTTTCATCTTCGCTTTCCACTTTTCGATTCGCGATGTAAGGCTTTAGTCCGTGTCTGAAGTTCAAGGCGCACATAGTGGCGTTAATGATGGTGAGCATAATCAGGACGATTGTGATCACTGCAAAAGAAGTGAGGCTTTTGCGAGCAGGTAGATAGCGCTTGGCCCTTGATGTGTTTTGATACATCCGGACGAGCTTGAAGAGGAAGTAGGCCAGTCCTCCAAAGTAAAGGATCTAAGCAGAGCAATGTCAGCAAATCTCGCTTTCGGCCCTCGAGCCCGGAATGCTTACAATGGTGGCAACCATGCCCGACAAGCTCTCCTTTCGAGTAAAATACCCGGCCATAACAAGGATGAGGATTGTGACTGGGATTGCGGCGATCGTCAGACCAAACTCAATATCCTGAACATCCACGACGACAACCACGAATTGGACGGTGAACCCAAGAAAGAAGAAGAAATCGAATTTGAGGAGGGCGATGTAGATCTATGAGCACTGATTAGTGAGTTCGGCAACCGAATTTCAAGCTATTCAATGTACCTGATATGCTAGGTACCGCCTTTTCATCCTCAAATCCGCACTGATATGCTTGTAGATGGTCCAGGCGAATTCGTCGTAGATTTTTCGTGCCACAATTGACATGGCAATTGAGCCTACTGCTATCACGCAAGGAATCGCGATGAGAAACGGCTTGACAGCACTCCAGGTTGTGGAAGTTCCACGAGAACCCAGACTTTTCACAGCGTCATCGATTTCAGCCATCTGAACGGCGGCATATATCAACAGACCGAGGTTGTAAAGGCAAAGCCCAATGATTTGAATTGTATTCTTAAGCCGAAGGGCATCGTAGGCCAGGATCAGTTCGTAGACAAAACCGAAGATGTACAGAGTAAGAAAGGTTGGGATAGTATGTTGGTAGTCATTAGCGTCGGCGCCTTTAGGTGGTGGATGGAGACTTGTTTGAAAAAGAGCGAAGACGTATCTGCAACTCCAATGTAAGCATACATCACATTCACCGGACTGCGCAAATCTCAATCACGATGCGCTTTACAAGGTCGGAGGCGAGCACGTATCTTCCCTGGGCTGAGTCGACTTACGCTTCGAAGCCTAGGACTATGGCGGTCTGCACACAAGTCACCCCAACAAAGGCCCACGTCCACACAGAGTTTGGCCTATACATTTTCGATCTCGCCTGACCACCGCCAGCGGTATGGGTCGCAAAACCTTCGCGGTGATGGTAACCACCAGCGTACGCTCTGTCTGATGGCTGGCCTCCGAGGAGGGAAGCTGTGGCCTCGTGGCCCCGAATTTTGACGGCTGATGGCGAAGAACTGAAAGAGATGCCTTAGTCTAGCACTCCTGTTGGAGTGTTCGGGATCTATGAGACCAGGAGACCCAGTCAAGACCGCGAAGAAGATTCGACCTCGATGCGCTCCGCGGCTGTAGTAAACTGGCCTCCTAATTCAAGATCGACTCGCTGCCGCTTCTTTGACTACGTCGTTGTGCTAGACTGCGACGGAGGGCTGCGTAGAATCTGAAACGGGTTGGAGTCGAGGGTTTGAGATAGGTTGGACGACGAAGAATCCTTTGGCAGGCCCAGACAAAAATAAAGATCAAAGAGTTTGAGAAGCGTCGTTGAAGTGATAGGTAGGACTAAGATAGGCGCGCGTTTGTTTGTGAGGACTGTCAGGTTGACCGATGTCGTTGTGTCATTGTGTCGTTGTGGTAGAGTAGACCTGGTAGATGTCAGAAACGTCTGCTGCGTCTCTCTTCTCCCTTCCCTGCCACATGAGGAGGCGGCGACTAGACTCGATGAGGAATGGCTCTAATTCAACGAAACAAAACCCGTATTCGACAGCAAAAAATCTTCAGTCACAATCAAAATGGCTGACTGTAAACAGGAGGATTATATTAGAGATGAGAAATACGGCTGCTTCCACGCGGTAATTGGTCACTGGCGAAGAAAAGGCTGTTAACATTTAACCATGCTGCGCATAAGCCTCTTTTCCCCGGCTTGCATGAAACCTCGAACCTAGCTTATCATACAATCATCTCTCACCATATTCTACTCTTTTTAGCCATCGAGCGCCAAAGCCATGCAATACTCATGCAATACTCCATGCTTGAACTCCGAGAAACAAACACCACCAACACCCTGCTCTTCCGAAATCGATTCAGTTCAATTCCATACCCTCGTCTTCCTGCATTTCATTGTCATCCATCTCATCCGCAACATGACCTCCCTGTGCTCTGGCACTTCTCCTCGCCAGCTCACTGCCAGATCCACCAACACCAACCTTACCACCTCCGAGACCTCCCACCACCTCCAATTCCTCCCCTCCAATCACTCTACCGTCCACATCGATTACCTCACATAATTCCATCATGCTGTGTCGACTCAGACTGCGGAAGCCCTCCGTCCTCACCACACGTCCCCAATGAGTCAGGCAGTAGTTGGCCGCACGTCTTCGAAGCCACTCCTCTTTCGCCGTTCCTGCCCGCTCCCACACCACCGCTGCATGCTCGACATCTAACTCGCGACTGAGCCGACGAACGCACTGTAGACGCAGCTCTGGCATATCGTAAACATCAGACATAACAAGAAGGCCAGCAACTTCTCGGAGATCCGGACAGTACTCGGGATGCTTGTCAATGCTATCAGTATAGAGATAGTAGAGAAAAGCTCGGACAACGCTGTACGGCTCTTGAATGTGCATTTTTTTCGTATGAAATTCTGACATCTGCGACTTATAAACTCGGTTAAAGTGCGGCCAGCGAGCTTGCAAGATTAGCTTGTGCACGTGGATGGGGGTGGACGTCGAGTCCGAAGCATTCAAGAAGAATGGCGTCTGAGACGCATCTGTAGTCGTAACTATAGAAATTGCCGATACGTTGTCATCATCCGCTGGATCGTCGTTGTTTGCGGTAATGGTAAAGTCGCTACCACTTGCCTCTGGCGCCCGATCAAACATTGACGCCAGATCTGAACCAAGGCTGCTCATGTGTGAGGTGGAGTGTGTGTCGGAAGCAGGCATTCTGGAACTCTCCGCACTAGGCTCCCATGTCGACTCACTGCCCAGCAAGCCGAATTCGCGGAGGTCTATCGCCAATACATCGCTGAGGTACTCTTCGAGATTTGCAGCACCATTCTCCGAAGGTTCCATTGCACATCCGAGGAGCCAGGCCGTTGTTCCCTCCTCGTTTACCGCACAGTAATGCCAACGGTAAGACGGATCAAAAATCTCGGAACCTTCGGCAAGTCGTTGCCATTGTTGAGTACCGAGCTCGAGGGCTGAAAGATTACATTCTGATGGACGGATAGTGCCCGCTGGAGTAACGAAGTCCAGTAGGGCGCCAGAAGAATAGACGTGGAAATGTGTTCCTAGAGCCGGAGACGGAACATTTGGGCCTGATACAAACTTCGTGGACGTCATGGCTCCAGGAGCTGCGGGCTTGGCGACAAGATTGGAGCTGCGGACCTGCACGCTACTTGAATTGGCAGTGTAGCTACCGCTTCCTCCTGTATGAACATGCTGCGCTGAAGGGTGTGGGCCGAAATGCGAACGTGGACTCGGCCCTGCTCTCTCCGTTGTGGACTCAGAAATACTGTGTGCCGGGACAGATTTGAAGGCAGGACTGTTCTTCAGATCTAGTGACCATAATTCGCCAGTACGCTCCATGTCAGGCCCTAGACCGCCAAAGACCCATATGCGGCCTCCCCATATCCACGTAGAATGGTCGAAGCGTGCGACGAAAGTCCAGGATCTAGACCAGGTCCATGTCTTGAGGTCAAGGTAGCATATCTCATCTAGTGTGTAGGTTTCCACGCCAGCTAGACCTCCAACAATGAAAAGCTTGTCATCGTAGACCGCTGCGGCATGTCTTGCTCGGCCTTTTGGTATGGGACCTTTAATTTCGGGCTGAGTCCAATGAGAAGTTGCGAGATCGTATATAACGACGTCGGAGAGATATTCCCGATGTTCGTTCTCGCCGCCGTAGACCAGAAGCTTTGAGCCTTGCCAAAGGCAAGCGGTATGACCTGACCCGTGCGTTAGCTCATGCTTATCAAAGGTCTATTGTGTCTTTATATTTACCCATCCGCACGCCTGGGATATCTCCGTAGTTGTCCACAAGTGTCCATTGCAGCGTATGTAGGTCTAGCCTCAGGACATGATTATAGACTGTTCGCGTGTCAATTCAGTCTCTGATTTAGCCTCAAGCGGGCGAACATAGATTAACGGGGAATCCTACCCTCATCAGTATACTGGTCGAAGCCCCCGAATGCATAGATCTGATTCTTTCCACAGTAAGTCACGGAAGCATTGACCAAGCAGGCGGGTCTTTGCCCGCAAGTCCTTGACACTTTAGGCTTGTAGCTTTCTTTTGACATTCGTGCTCTCTTGGAAGGACTGGCGGGCATAAGGTAGGTATTGTTTGACGAAGATGCGACTGAAGGTGGTGCTCTTGCTCCGTGACCAATGCCACTCCAACCGCCGGAATAAGCTTGTGCTTGTTGGAAGCCAGAGCTTGTTCCACTTGGCTGTTGATTCATGGTTGAATTTATGGTAATGTACGTTTCATAGAAGATGTGTAGGTACTAAGCATGAATCCATGGCTACCTTACAGAATCGGAACTCCAGGATATGTTAGCAGGGTTGGGTTGAATGCATGATCTTGTTTGCAGCTGCAATAATACTCTAAAGTATTTACTGTATTAAAGTAGGTTCGGAATGTTTCAAGCACCAGGCAATAATGACGGTGAATGATCGACACCTCATAGGGCTGAACCAAGATTCCAATTCCCGTTGCTGGGCAACAACGCTAGCGCCATTACGCTTGCTATGTTTATGCCGGGACTGAGCTTCTTGCTTTGTCCTTCACCAACCTCTTCTCTCCGCACATTCCCCCATCTCCAACTCCCTGCATTTATTGCAAACATCATTACCTTACGCACGAGACATCTCTACAATCCATTAGACCATTCCAACATTGTTGATCTGTTCGACCCACCGATTGCAAGAGCTTCTCTGCTAAGGAACCCAATTGACAGCATCTTTTCCGGCTACACATCATCGACTATTAACTAACATACCCAGGATCCATTTACTTGAGACTCTTGGGATCTCGTACGAGTCCGGAACATAAACAGCGACATTTGACAATCCCTCGCTGGTCAATTGAACTATTACTAACCTGAGGACCACCGGTCTTCTTCACAGCAAAACCGATCGATACATTAATTTGTCCATTCGATCCTACTATTCATCTTTCACAATGGCAACCGCTTCGGTGTCAACCCCACTCAAGAGTCACCACGGCATCTTCTCCACACGCACAGCTGGCGGACGTATACCGCTCACACCGTCACCACGCACAAGAACAACAAGCCTTGCCACCAATGTCTCAAGTACCTCGTCTCCGTTTACACCTCCTCGCCAGACAACCGAGTCGACTCGCATAGTCTCGCAGTCAGCATTTGGCAACGTGACTTCCTACTTTTCAAGATCAACTTCTAGGAATACTTACCGAGACTCACCAAAGTCAAATATTGCCAAAGCGAAGAAATCCCCCAAGCACCTCGAGCTTGGTGTCTCGGACTGGACGTTGACCGGGACTGGGACGACCGTTGGGCAGACGCCATCAAAGAGTGCCAGCCGAAAGAAAGGTCCACTTCGAACGAGATCAGGCAAGACTACAGTCCGCCTTGAAGCTGGAGATCGCTTTATCCCTAATAGGAATGCAAGCGAGGGCATAGTCACAGCTGGTTCTGGCAAGCTTGATGAAAGCCATCGACCAAAGGCTAGCAACGGTGAGGGCTCAACGGTCCTGGCGAATGCTGTCAGTGCATTTGATCTTGGTGGCCTTGCTGCAGAGGATGATGCCACAGTAGCGCTTGAGGGGCTTAACTTAGGAGACGGTGACGAGACTTCTTCGTACACAAAGCCTGCTCCAGATACCCTAGCGTACGAATCGTCATTAGCAACTGCATGTGGTGTTTCACTTAATACCCGCATCCTCGCCTTCAAGCCCGCACCACCGGAGTCGTCAAAGCCGATAGATCTCCGGTCACAGTACAATCGTCCACTAAAGCCTGCCAATGCAGCTTCTGCCCAATTCCGCCGAAGAGTACTCACTGCCCCTGAGCGAGTCTTAGACGCCCCTGGTCTCGTCGATGACTACTACCTCAACCTCCTGGATTGGAGTTCTGGCAACCAAGTAGCAATTGGGCTCGAGCGCAATGTCTACGTCTGGTCTGCTGAATCTGGCACAGTCAGCTGCTTGCTGGAGACCGCTGCAGATACTTATGTCAGCAGCGTAAAATGGAGTGGAGACGGTGCTTATGTTGGAGTTGGTCTTGGCTCAGGCGAGGTGCAGATCTGGGATGTGGAAGAAGGCACCAAGCTTCGGAGCATGCATGGTCATGATACGCGCGTTGGAGTCATGGGCTGGAACAAGCACATCCTATCGACTGGTGCGAGAAGTGGCTTGGTATACAATCACGATGTCCGCGTCGCCCAACACAAAGTTGCTGAACTTGTCTCCCACACATCTGAGGTCTGCGGTCTTGAGTGGAGAGCGGATGGTGCCCAGCTTGCCACTGGCGGCAACGATAATCTTGTTTCAATCTGGGATGCTCGGTCTCTAGGTGCACCTAAATTTCAGAAGACAAACCACCGGGCGGCAGTCAAAGCTCTGAGCTGGTGCCCATGGCAGCCAAACCTGCTAGCTACTGGCGGAGGCTCGTACGACAGACACATTCATTTCTGGAACACAACAACAGGTGCCCGGACGAACAGCATTGATACCGGCTCACAAGTGACGAGCCTTCGTTGGAGCAACCATTACAAGGAGATTGTCAGCTCCAGCGGCTTCCCCGACAACTCCCTCAGCATCTGGAGCTACCCAACCTTGGTCCGGAACGTCGAGATACCAGCACACGAAACAAGAGTCCTTCATAGCTGCTTGAGCCCCGATGGCCAAATGCTGGCAACAGCGGGTAAGTTCTAAGTATTCTCGTTCGAGTGATGAGACAGTCGCTAACTATCAAATTAGCTGCGGACGAGAGCCTCAAATTCTGGAAGATCTTCGAGAAGAAACCTGGATCTGCATCAGCGATCTCGAGGGAAGGTGGCGTGACCGGCAAAGGAGGTGACATGGTGAAGCAGATGACAATACGATAGACCTCACGAACCTGCATTGTGGGTGGTTTGAGGTTCATGTCTGTTGATCATGTCTTCTTGCAAGGGGTGGTCATTTTAGATCATTCCAGGCCATTTTTGAGCAAGGGAGTTTGGGCTTTCCGGGCAGTGATGTGAATCATGCATACCACTCCGTTATGTGGCTAGCCCAAGCCAGCATTTTGTACATTAAGAGTCAATCAACACAGTCATTCATTCATTCATTCATTCATTCATTCATTTATTCATACAAATAATACACCAATTTTCCAGAAGTGAGTTCCCTCCCACTCATCATGCATGGCTTCTCAAATGCGAATGGTTTCAAGGCGAGACCCGGAATTCGCCGAATTCCATCGCCTAAGTCCAGGAGATGGTGAAGATACCAACATAAAGCATGGCAAGAAATGTTCCAAACTTCCCGAATTCTATCATCTTCTCTATTAGCTTTCAAAAGTGACCATCCGGTACGGTAAGTGCTAGAAGTAGATACAGTAGAGCATTTCCGTGTCGTCTGCTACTAGTGCGCCTCAAACGATTGGTTTGCCCTGAGTTGGTAAGAGTGTGTAGCAGAAGTCATGCATATAGGGAAAATCACAATTTCCAAGTCCCACTGAGGCATGTCTGCCAGTTGCACTGTGGGACTTGGAAATTTTCGATTCTCTCCAAGTAATTTTAAGGTTTTCGGCCGCAAGATTGTCCCTATATGCATGACTTCTGCTACATACTCTTAACATCTTTAGAATAGTACGTGAGTCGTAATGTCACTCGCATCCCCAAAACTTCCTGGAGGTATTCGAGGACGCACGTAGACCTTTCAAAGTTTCTGGCAAGATTTCGGGTCCAATCCCGATGGAGGCATATGAACTCTCGGCAGATAGTTGAAACTGTCTTTCAATTAGTAATGAATTGTTGTATACACTGATTACCAGTATCGCGGGACTCCACTATAGACTTACCGAAGAATGCCCGATACCTATTTGATCATACCCATAGAGAATTTGAGACCAGTAGCTCTGATTTTCCTGGTTCCTTTTAACACATCTCTAAGGTTCCCATCCGAGTGAATCGTCGAGAGGTATGTTCAATGATGTAGAACTTTCCGAGGTCGCTGCGGGGATTATTTAGCACATAGAGGTATGGTGGTGGAGATACGACCGCATCAGCGATGGCGTAGAGCGGATCCTGAGCTGAAGCCGCCGTCTCGCGAATGATCACAGTACTCGTTGAGGATCTGCGTGCGCTTTCCAGGAGAGGCATGGAGACTAATTTCCTGGATTCTTGTAGGGCCATTTCGTTTCTAGAATAAAATAATGCATCAGGCCTAGAGAACGTCGTGGAGAGTTGTGGAGGTGGAAAGCTTCGGGGGAGGTTTGTAGATCCATCGTAGGAACGTCCTCCCAGTGCTGTTGTGAGCGGTCGGCCTATTGGGCGGACGTTTTAGCTTTAGTAAAGGTAGGGCACGCTCAAGTATAAGACTTACACAATATCATTCGAACCTCGAGTTCTGTGCTTGTTAGGCACGGTCTTCTAAGTTTGTCATAGAGTGTGTATGCCCAATTCTTATAACGGGGAAAGACATTGAATCCGTATTTGGCGCGACCTTCCGACTTTATGCGGTGCTCATCTGATATTCAACTTCAACCTGTTGCTAATGATCGTCCAAACAAAAACCTGGAAATCTTTGCAGCCCACGAACATTGAAAGTGAAGAATAGCCACTCTGAGAATGCGCCATGTTGCAAAAAATGATTATGTAAGCGATCTTGGCAGACCTTGTCCCCTTCAACAATTCCCGCCAATCCAAATTCAACTTTTACATCAACCCCGGTGGTGAAAACGACCACGGCGATCAACAACAACAAGGACGAAATACAACAGCGGAAAGGGTGAGAGAAGGTCTAGGAATGAGAGACTGAGGTGAGGTCGAGTGTCTGCAAGACACGGCCGCAGAGCAAGACCACCAACTTCGGCTCACATAGACCGGATCAAGCACCTCTTCCTCCACATCACTGGGGCAGCAACCTATAATTCATCTCACCGTCCCATCCAGTCCAGCCTTCTTGCGGTATCTTGTTCGATCGCGGGCAGGATGTCGAACCAGCTTGTGGTCAGTCTGCTCTTGCCAGACTCTCCTAGCAGCCCCAGACCCCATCCCTTTGATAGCACGCAGATGCTGAAAGCAAGATTGCTCGTCACAGGGTACCGTGTACCAGCGCATCATGGACGATGTAATCGAGAACTGCCAAACCACCTTCGAAGAGGATGGAGTCAATCAGCAGACACTGGACGAGTTGAGAAAGGTCGGTCTTTTTCCTTCTAGCTGTTCGTCGTGGTCGATCCTAATTTAGCATATTATCAATGTCGTCGCTGGCAGCAGCTCATGCATCGTCTCTGTGTTGAGCGTCACTTGATCCAAGAGATCTTGGTCTGTTCAAGGACACATCAGTCCTGAGACTGGGTGGGCGCAATATTCGATTTTTGCGGGTGGGCAAGCGGGGCCCTGGGGAATTTGTCCAATTTTTGGGGGGGATGCCGAGCATTTGACTCATTTTTATGCTGCGCCCCCGCTCCTTTTTCCCTCATTTCCCTGCCTAGTGGCTTGCCGAGATTTAAGTTGCAACTTTAACCGATCCTTCAATAACTGGATGCCCTAATTCCTTCGATACCCTCCAAAGGTCGCCTCGTTAATGTTTTTTCCTTCTACAGACATGGCAGACCAAGCTTTCGGCACTTCATGTTGGAACATTCCCATGGGAGCCTCCCCCAGCGCCTCAGCCAATGGCAAATCCCACAGTCCCATCAAATGTTCCACGTCCACAACAGGTTCCTTCCTCCGGAGTGCCAACATCTTCGACCCCAGCCCAGAGCAATGGAGCTGGTGGGGTTCGCATCAAAACCGAACCTGGCTACGAGCAACAAGGCTTCCAGACTAATGGTCTTCCCCCAAACTACGGCAACACAATTGCTCAGCAACGAGCAGCAGCAAATCTTCAACAGAAGTTTGGCGCCGGTGCCAATGCGCAAATCAGTCAACTTCAGGCTCAGGCGGCCATGGGAACGCCTGGTGGTCAGCCACAGCGAAGCCCCATGAACATTCAACTGCCTCCGCAAATGACCGATCAGCAGAGACAGGATCAGGCCGAATTCAAGAGACGTCAGCAGGCGCAACAGTACCAGAGTCTCCACAATACCCAACCGAGGCCTATTGTCAACAATGCTCAGACTGATGGTACTGACGAATGGGACGGCTACGTTGCTCAGCGGCGTCTTGATGCGTCGAAGGACCCTGACAAGACTCACGAAGCAGATCTGACTATCAGGCAGCAAGTTGAACAGATGAACCGTTCTATGGAAGGGGGAGGCCTGATGATGCCTTTGGCCGATCAATCAAAGTTGCCTCAAATGAAGAAGCGCAAGACAGTCGACGCAGAAGCTGGCCCTAGTAGCTCATACTCTAATCTAGCGGCGGCCCAATCATCAGACTCTAAGCACGTACCTAGGATTCCGCAAATGGATGGAGATGAAGAGGACGATGACGATGACAAGACCGGCATCAAGGATGAGCTTTTCGACGATGATGATGAAGACGCAATCAATTCTGATCTAGACGACCCGGATGACAATGTCATTGAAGAAGAGCCGGAGGATGGACGCCCACAACAAATCATGCTCTGCACTTACGACAAAGTGGCACGTGTGAAGAACAAGTGGAAGTGCACGCTGAAGGATGGGGTACTGACGACTGGAGGCAAAGAGTACGCATGGCTAGCGTACCAAAATTGGGAGGTTCTTTGCTAATCGCGATTCCAGATACGTCTTCCATCGAGCTCAGGGTGAGTTTGAGTGGTAGTAATGTCAGCTCGTCCCCAGAGACGTGCCTTGGTCTCAACTTGCTGCGCCCTCCACCACTTCACCCATCACTGCTTGCATAACGCCCGACTGCTCCTATGAGAGCTCAACAATTGTTGTCAGCGCTAGGCGCCGGGTGGTTTCCCTTGCTGATGCCGCGGATGGTCTAGGGGGGATGCGTTTTAGTTGGACAGAAGACTGAGATCTCATCATGCGAAGAGGGAGGGTTGCAGGCGTTGTGGCTGTCTTGCTGCTCTCTTACTCAAGTTGCAGGAGAAAAGATTTAGCACCCTTGTTGACAGTGTGGCCATGCAATAGCCGCAATTGAAATCAAAAAGGTGATGCCTACTCTAGATTTTAGAATTGAATGCATTATGATTATGTTAAAAGGTAGAAAGGGAGAGAAGAGAAGAAGAAAAAGGTATTCTAATGTGCTAGTTCGAAAACAAGTCTTATTGTAAGGTAAATGGGCATTGAAAGGCGCTGACATACGCCACTCGTTTTTGATCTCGCCGCAACTTTTGTAGCTCTTATCCACCTTTCACTCTCCGTAACACCTTCAAATCACAGTCATCATGCCTACAAGAGTTGCAGTGAAGACTGACAAGGCTCCTCCGCCTCTTCCCGTCTACTCTCAAGCCATCGTCTGCAATGGCATGGTCTACTGTTCCGGTCAGGTCGCGATGCATCCCGAGACGAAGGCAATGGTTGAAGGGGGTATTTCTGACCGAACCGTAAGCTTTGACATAGGAAGCCAATATTCATCTCTGATTATCTATACCATTAGGCTCAATGCTTCAAGAACCTCTCGGCCGTACTTGAAGAGGCCGGTACGTTATACCTTCCAAGGAAATTCTTCCCCATTCATGCTGTCTTATGGGTCGTCAGACATATCTCAAGAGTTCTCAGCTCCTAAGATATGTCTCGCGACTCAGACTTCCTCCCGAAAGAGTAATGCTGACTCCGAAATCATCAAGGATCAAGCATGAAGAATGTGGTCAGGGTTGGCGTCTTCCTGACCGATATGGCCAACTTTGCCGCTATGAACAAAGTCTATGATACCTTCTTTGAGGATCCTAAGCCAGTATGTAGCCTCATGAGTTCCCGATAATCAATTACTTGGATGGCTTGGACGGGATGCGCTAATAATGGTCCTGTTCCAGTGTACGTACATTTCGGGGTTATTCTTTCTACTCCGGAGACCTGTTTCATAACCCAGGTTTCTTGCCTTGAAGGAGCAATGCTGACTCCAAAATGTGCGCAGGCCGAACCTGTGTAGCTGTCAAGGAGCTTCCCATGCGAACCGATGTCGAGATCGAGTTAATAGCCCACCTGTAGGTAAGCACCTTCTCATCATAGGGTCTGAGCTTCAAGGGAATAATTGTGTGCCAGTACAGCTGATGAGGGGGTTTTGGCGCCGCATCAGGCCTCAGTCTCGACCTCCACACGCATCCCATTTGTAGGTGACATTTAGAATGGTGCTTGCATCTACGAGGGATGAGATATACATATGAGTTGTATTACGAATGAGGATGTTGTGTTAGATGTGCGTGCGTTAGATATAATGCCAAAAGCGGAAAGCCTGCTTTAATCTCCTGTTCAATGAGCTCTACCCTTTATATGTTATCTCCTATTTGAAAGATTCCGGCGATCCTTGCGTCTCTCAACATGTTAGAAGTATTCCAGTGTTTTCTGGTGCTTGTATGTTTCTGGTAGCTGGCCGCATGCGGACACAAGGTGAACTATTGAGGACAAAGCAATAGCGTTCGCTTTCAGGCAGAATGTCTTTCATTATCTGCAGAGTACTGCATCGCATATAGTACCATTTCCTACTTTGATTTTTTCCATGCACGTCCAACGCGCGAGTAGCCATCTGTCAATTGCACCCCTTGCAAATCTGACACCATGTCAACCAGAACAAGCACCCGCACAAGCACGGTCTTGAGTTCCCAAAGGACTCAGCAGAAATCCCAGGAAAATCCCAAACCTTTCAACAAACGACCAGCGAGGAGTGACCACAGTCAAGCTACACCTGTCAAAGTGCGAAAGCTCTCGCGCTCCGATAGTGCAACCCGAAGAGCTTATGTTGAGATCCCAGCCAAAACTCTGGCTTCAGCCCTTAAGCGACGTGAAGAGAGTATTTCTTTGAGCAGTAAGTCCTCCCATGCGGTGGCACAACCTGACAGCTGAAGCTGATAGCTTGAACCGTAGATCACCCGCACGCCGCTGTGGTGCCTGCGAAGAGGTCACCGGGAAAAGTGCGATTTTTTCAGCAAGGATCGACGCATGGCAGTCGTCGTTCTCCTAGAGAACAACCCCAAGGTAACATTCAAGCCTCAGGCGACACGGTTCAAGTCGTGGTGCAACTACCGAGCCTCGTAGATGGCAGGGGGGACAGGAGAAGCAATAGCCCACAGCGGAAGACTGAAAATGCCGCCGAGGACGACGAGACCGCTATCGTCACAACGCAAATCGAGCCATCCCAAAAACTGAGCCCAAACCCAGACGCCGACTTCCAAACTCGCTATCGCGAAATCAAGTCCCTCGCCTGGATCTGGGTCAAGAACTACTTCTCCGACATCACCCCCGAAGCCAAGAAATCCCTCAACCTTCTCCATCTAGCCCACACCTCCCCACAGTTAATGGAATGCGCGAACTGGATATCCTGTTGCGGGCAGAAAAGAACATGGGAAGGCGTCTTCAACGAGCAGAGAGCGCAGCTTGTTTATGGCGTACTGGGCAAGATGCTCGAGGTGCATGTGTTTGGACATGAGATGTTTGGGGCCAATAAGGAGCAGTTGAGGGAGCTGAGGGAGTTGGATATGGAGCTAATCGACAGTGATGGTACCTCTTTCCTTCTTTTCGCCCTGCACCGTTGTATATTCAGTATTGATTTATTTGCTAGGCTTCTACCGTCAAAGATGCCGCGCCCACAGAATCCTCGCCTTCCTCGCCTACCCCAACACGCCCACCCCAAACTTCCACCACTCCCTCACCGCACTCCACGCCTCCTTCATCGAATTACTTTCCCCACTCCTCCCTCAGTCCCCACCAGGACTACTCCAACCTCAACTCCTCACCATCCTCCTCAAAGCAGCCACCCTCTCCCTCTCCACGCGCCGTGAGCGGAAAGTAGTCTACCACTGGGAAACCCACCCCGCGGTCGGCAGTCTTTTCGAGAGTGAAACCATGCACATACTCAACGCGACCGAGCACCGTGAGGAGGATGACTGGCGGCGGAACACGGATCTGGAGGTCGTGACGATGGCGGGGTGGCCGAGCTGCGTGGCGTACCGTCCTAACGCCGCCGATGGGGAGAAGGCCGACGATGGGCAAGGGCCGATGAAGAAGAAGAAGAAGGGCCCAAAGCCGAAGCTCGGGGTCAACAGGATCGGAAGGGCAGAAGTGTGCGTGACGTTCGGGCCTGCCGTCAAGCCTTTGAGCGTGCAGCCGGACAATTGGCTGGGGAAGAGGTTGAGGGTCGAGATGACGGAGAGGGATGCGGTGAAGAGGGCCGGGGATGCAAAGGCGGCTGTTGCGAAGAAGGTGGCGGTGCTGGGGGCGGGGGTGTCGGCGGTGCTGGGGTTGGAGTATTTGGTTGGACATCCGTCGACTCTGGATGAGGTGTTGGGGTATTTGGGTTCGTTTGTCTGAGTCGATGGAGAAGGCGTTTTGCGAGCCCGAGTGGAATCCGTAGTTGCTTACACCGGAGTTCGTGACAGTTGTTTCAGCATGCGAATCCAATTTTGAAAGTTCTCACAATTTCTCCTTTGTTCGTTCTCATAAAATACTCTTCATTACACTCACTCTTGATTATATTCATACGTTCCCTCCTCTATTCATCGTCATTGTCCTATCCAACCTAATTTGAGCATCTTCTTCCTCAGCAGCAGCCAGGTGCTCGCCCGGTAGTAATACAGCTCTATCAATGGCAACAGGCAGGCCTCTATGCCTACCCCTCAACATGACAGCGCAGAGAATAAGCTTACTGACTGCATGCCAGCCTCCGCAGAAGGAGTATGCGACATTCGGCAAACCCACGCTGATGCCCACACAGCCATACGCAGAGACAACTTCGAATACGACGTTAAAGACAGAGTAATCAACAGGATCGCGCTCGAATTGGCTAGTCTCCGTGATGGTGATGAAGAGGATGGCAAGAACGATCCACCATATGTCGTGAGCCAGTTGACCACGAAGTTGTTGGCGGACAAAGTAACCCCTCGACTCTGTGGGTCCTCGTTGGTTTGTCAGAGTCCGCTTGAGGCGACCAAGGACCCCTTGACCACTTTCCTCCCCCTGTTTTGCTTGAGGGTCATCAGCATAGATGCCTAAGCTTCGCTCTTCATAGACGTTGGAGTTGCGCATCGTTATGAGGACAGGGTAGGCGGATATGTACATCATGATTACATAGAGAATCAGGAGACCGATGCGGAGACCGGCAATGGGTACAACGTAGAATCCGCCACTGCGCACGGCAAGGGCCTGGAAGAGACCGTCAAGAGCGCGCGAGCCGGAGGGTAACGAGGTCACCGTGGGGTTAGTGATCTGGACGCATGGTCAGCGTTACTGGGCAGCTGCTTTATGTGGCTTTACTGACATTGAGGACTTCAAAAGCAGCCCAATCAATCCCGTTCAACACAACAAGAGTCGCTAAAAGCCACCAGGTATGTCTGGAGGGAAAGAGATTCGTGTAGCATCTTCTAGGATGGTCAAGTAGAAATCGAAGAGTGGTCTTGTGTTCCAAGAACTTCTCATTGTCAGGCAGTAAAGTGAAAAGTGCCCATATGATCAATCGTAAGAAGACCGGATAGCAGGTGTTGCCGGCTAGAATCATAAGGCCCATGGTGATAAGAGCGTAGTCGGATGTTTGGAAAGCTACCCTGAGAATCCAGGTCAGCTTTTATGAAACGCCAGCGACGACAAGAGTCATGAAAGCTTCAAGAAACGTACATATTGGCATCGAGCAAACTCATCCCACTGTTATTGAAAGCAGAAACCCCGTTGAAAGCGCCAACCCACCTGGGGGCAGAGTCAGCTGTCTGATGTCCAAGTAAAGAGGACATGCATTTCGAGCATACCAGGGGTTCTCGGCATTGACCTCAGTTGTACTCGCTCTCTTGGTCGCAACATATGCACCAAGGCCTAGACAACCCAGGAGTTGCCACAGAACAAAATACAAGGGAACGATAACCGCTAGATATGTAACAGCTCTATACTCCACTCCCCCAATTTTTTCGCGCTCCGCAAGACTGAGATTACTAAACTGGGAATTTCTGCCGACGGAACCTCCTAACAAGATGCCATGTCGTGGCAAAGGTAGGCTCTCCGCGTCCCCTTCATCTACCCTTGGTAGTTCGTCAACATATATGGGTCTCGCGGAGCTGATGGGATGGTTCTCTACATTTTGCCGTGCGCCAACCCCTTGCATAGATAAGATTCGCCCGTGCTGTCGCTCTCTTGTTGGTGAGGCAGGCGACGCGAATGCAATCCGGCGTGTCACACCAGGGTCAATGCTCAAAGGCTGTCCAGCTTGAGCAGGATCGGAGCTTGATTTATTTGCCGCGAGATCCTCTGCATCTGCTTCAGGCTTGGGGAAGCGACGAGTAGTCAGTGAGACATTGCCATTAAGTTGTAGTTGGTCGTCTGGGCGGGAAAGGTTCCCATCAGCTTCTTCTGCGAGGTCCTTCTCTGAAGGAATTACCCTGCCCCTGACCACAACTCCGTCAACTTCAGGCCTCGATCGAGAGCGAGAACCCGGCAACGATAGCCTTCGCCTCGAAGTGCCGCGATTCCGCCGCCGTTGCCGTTCCTCCTCGATTACGCTCTTGAACCTTCGCTCGAAAGCTTTCCTTCTCACATGCACGACGGCAATCGAGACCCAGATCGCGGATCCAAGTAGTATGAGCAGAAAGAGGATGAATTGTTGAAACGTGTTCATTTGCGAAAGGTTGACAGTATTGAGGCCTGCCTCGGTCATGGCTGACACCACGAGGAAAAGAGAGTCGACATAGCTGATGCTTCTCGGCGGTGTAGAGGATCCCCAGAATATGACGCTCGACGACAGACATACTCCAATGAAGTAGGCATAATGGAGAGTAATGAAGTTGAGAGGCGGGAGGTGAAGGGAGATCCAGCCAAAAGCACGCGAGGACGAGGAAGGCAGGCGGATGGATGGGCGTGAGACTGGAGGTGGTTGATTAGCTGTTTTTCTTGGTAAAGACACTGTTTCATCCGTGTCAACACTTACTCACCATTCTTACTACCTAGTAGGTTTCACTTGATGCAAATGAGTTGGAAGATTATGTAGCTAGTCCTGTAGGCCAGCCAATGGAGGTAAAGGGATGGGATTGACGACACTAATATCGACAGCTCTTGACGCAGGTACATCCTACTGCGAAGAGAAAGAGTTGTCGAATTGTAAAATGGTAGGGAAGGTGTCAAGACAATAGGGCTGAATGCCAAGACCACATTTTGCCTTTCCGAGGTTTTCGGAAACATTTTCGCTACCTGGACTTAGCTGACATTAGACAGCACGTACTTTATAGAATATACAGAATACTGGAAATTTGGTCTTTCGAGAGACTAGAATGCTTTGCCAACTCATAAGTCATCTTTTGTCGTTCCTATTTGCTCCGAGCCTTCGTCTACAATTTGTTCCTCCTGAAAATGTTTCCAACGGATGGGATATCTCGCTAATTTCCATGCCATAATGAATGAGGGAATCAAAACATAAAACAGACATAGGCTGCTTGCCTCCACATAGGCTAACTCATAAGATTAAGGCTGCCGTCAGAGCCGTATCATTTATATATCGTGACAAGAGCCGTTGCGCGTCGAACCATCTTGTACTTGTGGCGCTCTTGGAAAGGGTCACACAGGACAGTCTGGATCGTCAAAGCCTCAAGACAATAATTCCAGACAGCACTCGCATCGAGACCAATCCAAAGGATGAAAGGCCGTCGAGAGGGTCCTGAAACCGTGATCAATTTCGAAGGAAAGAGCGATTTCGTGCTTCGTTACTCGCATGACCGCAGCCCAAAAAGATGAGGAAGAACGATGAGATCACTAATGAAACTGTCATTATCAGCTTAAAATGTGTGCAGCTTCATAAAACTGCCCTTTGTTGTTGCCCACCACTGGCCTTATGATCATGGTTGACTTCGTGAGGGAAAGGTTTTCTCGCGGTGATAATGTGCCTGCCTGCCATTAGTCATTGCAAGCGGATATGATGAAATCCATCATCCCAAATCCATGGCCGTCTTAGTCAGAAACGCCAAGAAATCGCAAAGCGCCTGAGGTCGATGGAGAATGCTGTCACTTACAACTCGTGGTAGGCATGGATATCAGCTCTCTGGACGATGGTCTCGACTTCGCCAAGATATCTCTTCACGTCTGCGATTGGCCAGTTGTAGGAGGGTCTTGTGAAAGGAGCGAGGCTGAGAGCTTCTATGGCCTCACATAGGCCAACCCTGTACCATCTTCCGATTTCATGTTCTCGCCAGTCTTGACCCCACTCACCAATGGGTATTCTGATCTTTGTATGCTGAACATCAACGAAGCCCCACTCCTCCAAATGTCTTGGATTGTCATGCTCATATGCAATTGAGCGATCGTGACGTCGCGTCGCGTCGAACAGGTAAGCATACCAATGTTCGAGTGCTTCTCCCTTACGACTAAGTGTATCGTCGTCACAGCGAGGGACTAAGTCTATTTCGACGTGCTCGATGTGGCCAACGCCTGGCCTGAGGTGTCTATTCTATTTTCAGTTCTGGCATCTGTCAACAGCTCCGCATATTATCACCCACCGGAGTACGTTAGCGTACATTTCATGCCAGCTTGAAACACTGCCGCAAAGCATGGCAAGATGGATCAGGTCCCAAGAGTCTTCACCCATAAACCACGGGCTCTCAAAATCCCTGGGGGTTCGAAAACGCAGATTCGGTGGTATCCTGCGGCGTAATTTAGCGCGATCCTAGCCGGGAATTGGATAGATGATGCACAAACACGTCGGGTTGGATTTTGGAGAGATCGATGCCAATGACCTGGACGGCATTTAGCGACTTCTAGAAGCATGGGGGTCCGAGGCTATACCTCTGCCATGGGGTATTTACTGCAGGATTCAGCTTCGTTAGCCGGGCGATGAATCTCGATCCTGAAACCATTGAAAATCCATACGTACTCCGCCATGTTGATCGCCCATATGCCAGTGCCACATCCTACATCTAGGATCCTCAATCGAGGGTAATCCTCTCCCGAGGGGATAAGGGGCGCGCGGTGCAACTCATCCCTGCGTGCAAGAAGGACGATATGGTCTAGGGCATCGTGTCGTTCTTTTTCAGCCTGTCCAGGTGGCTGACGTCAGTGATGAAGGACAGATGAGGGAGAAAGAGAGGGTGGTAGTGCTGGATCGCTGACCTCGTCACAGGGGAATTGATAGATGCCTCTGCGATAACCGTGGTACAAGCGACCATGTTCGCTATAGGGCGGGGGTTCACTGTTCCTAAGGAGCGGGAGCGGGGGTTAGCCATTGAGATGGTACGGTTGTAAAGATTCGAGCTCGCTCGCTGGAGACGTGCCCGCTCATCACGCTTAATGCCCGCGCAAAAGCACGAAAGCTCTAGTCCTCAGCCTGCCCACGATAATATTCCTTTGCTTGCCAATCTGAATCAACTTGCTATGAGTTCCTCGCATCGAGAAGAATGGGAAGCGAGAGTGTGGTTTAGGTGGGATGTCTACGACAACCATCCAGACTAAGATGGACGGGAAGCTTTTTGGGTTTTATAGGTTATGCCGAGTGGGATAAAGTCTTACTCACAACTCGGTGTTGAGCAACATGGGGACGGGAATTTTGGGGAGACGAAAAGGATTAAAGGAAGAACTTCCGGGACAGAGAACCAACATATTATTTATCAATGATGCTAAAAAGAACAAGAACAGGGGCCATTCTTAGGCTGAACCAGAGTGTCGGGATTTCATGGCTTGCCGCGACACACCTCCCTAACAGGCTTAAAGCCAACATCTCGTCCGGGGGGGTCTCTAATACTGTTTTCCCGGTACCACCAGACCTACCAAAACCTACCGGACCTGCCCTGAAGCCCCCATAATAATAATACGGTAAGGTATGGATTATAATTAAAGTAGGTCAAATTAAGTACTTTGTGCTACGGGGGGGGGGGGGCGGGGACCCTATACTCGTTACTTTATGTCATATGATTTTGAAGGGGGATCAGCCTAGGCCAAGACCCAAATTTGTCTCTGACGATCGTCTCTCCGTTCCTCGGCCGGTGAGACGGTGGGAGATTGATTGATTGATTGAAAACCAAAAAAAAAAGCCAGCCTAAGAGGCCGCTTTCCAGCACTACTTTCCAGTGACCCCATGCTTTCAACACTTTAGGACTTATTCAATTAGTACTGAGCTTGCCATGCAGTTTGGCCCACTATTGAACCCTAAACCTACCTATTGCTACTCGTCGATTTCCACTCACGATATAAGACACTTTTCTCAAGACCCGACAGTTGCAACGATCGATGCATCATTCCCTTCTCACCCCCTGGGATACCTACAGATGACTTGGAACATGGAAATCATGTACCCCATTCCCGCACAGACCCATGTTCAAAGTAGAAAAAAGTCCTGGTGTTAGTAGAGTAATCAAGGTCTCAGGACTGAAAAAAAATAAAAAGGCTTTTCCCCGGGAGCCGGAGCACGCTGATCTCGTACATCCTTCTCTTCCCTTATCCCCTTTATTCTCCTCCAACCTCCACCCATCCTCACCCATGCTGAGGGAGACACACGCACCGACAAGTCGCTTGGCTTGCTTCACACTGCATGATTGCACCCGGAGCCTCGGACAAACTCGCATCGGCCATGATTACGCCTGGCCCGAAAGTCCCTCTCGGTGCTGCCAAAAAGGTACCTACCTACCTATAGCTGTCATCATCGCTCCAAGGATTCCGGCTCCGTTAAAATGGTCGGAATGCTCTCCCACTGTTGTGGGACCACGGGTCGACGGAATTCTTTATGCGTTGTTTGGCGAAGCCTCTTCTCCTACAGGTCACGCACAGGAAGCTGATGGATATTGCCGCTAGTGCAGGGAAATGGGGTAGTGGCAGGATGGAATGATGCAATCATCTGCCTGGGATCCCTTCAACCACACCCTTGGGTTCGGTAGTCTCGTGCGAGGAGCACGCCAAGCGAACAGATCAATTTGCGTTCCATTTCCCAAATGTACCCAGGCCAGCTTCAAGCTTGACCCCGTCTCCACCAATGGGCGCGCCAAACAGATACCACCAGATGCATGCCTATCGAGATCATGTCGGCTACTTGCAGCCCAAACCACCCAACGGCACCCGACGCGGTTTAATACCCGGACCAGTCAATAGGCCTACATGCGCCTACCCGCTGTCTCCTGCGCATGCAGACATCAACTCTTTAAAAAATAGGCAGTAGTCGGCGTCGTCTGCTTATTAAGTCATAACTTGCCTGAGGCTGAGGATCCTTAGACCACCATAGTCCGGCGTCGCTTATACCACCGTTGTGTACAGACCATACTCCACTCAAGGCTTACTGTATTGCCACCTGGCATGCTCGCCCGACCATCGGCGTCACAGCATGGTAAGTTTACCCGTTAACGATAGGCGGTGCGCCCATGGCTAGAAGGATCAGGCTAGTCGGACAGAGGGACGGTCATATCTCGGTAGAAAAGCCACCAGATCGGATTGCTTCGTCTCCGGAAGGATAACCCGTGCTGGCTTGAAGACGGCTTCAAAATGCTTTCAGATGCTTCCCGAGCAAGCAGAAGGACCAAGTGAAGACGGTGAAGAAAACGTCCGATTTTCAGCCTAATATACACAGGAGATACTTCGATACTTGACACGTGACACTCTCCGTCAAAAGGTTGAATCAGCCATGAAAGTCTTTTAGTTCTGATGAAAGGTGGGAAAAGTTTATTGCGGTGAGTGACGGTCCCAGACTCCCAAGCTAGAGCGTGCTCGGGTCTGGCCTCCTGTCAGCGATTTAGTCTTATGTATGGCCAGCTCCCAGCGTTCTGGTTCAACCTTAAAGCGCCCTTTTGGGGCCCATCGATCTGTGCTTCACTCCAGGCACCTGCCCTCCTGCAGAGAGGATCGACAAGAAGAAAGTTAATATAAATAGTAGATGTAATGTCCAGAAGAGTACCAGCCACATGTCATGCCTGCCATGGCTGCCATGATCTTTAGAAATTCGACATGATGGTTGCCACGATACCATCCTGAAGAATCCACGGTGGCTGCCACGATCTTGGGACGTCCACGTGGTGGTTGCCACGATCTTGGGAAGTCGACGATCATGACCTGTCTGTCAGTGCTATCCCTGACTATCTGGGGCAACTTCGCGTGGAGATTCCTCTACTGGAATATCCTTCTGTGTGGCTGAAGAACGGCAGCATTCTTCTCAAACCCTTGAGTTAAGGGTCGATGGAGATTTATTGAATTACTTTATACTCTAGTCTACTACAGTCCTTACGAGTACCGTAGCCGAAAGCAAAAGTGAAGGCTCAGCTGGATAGAGTTTCCTTGAATCGATACAGCTTGCTCTGATTGCCCGGTGAGGACTTGACCGTGATTACCTTCCCTTTGTGTATCATGCTACAGGCATAAACTTGATGGGTGCTGTGCTGACATGATGCGGTCTTGCGCGAAGATTCAATTGTTCTGTCAGTGATTTGCTGCGTCTCTCTTTCCTTCCATTGAAATCAATGACAGTTGTGCCTTCTTCATTCATTTACATCGCGTCTCAATAAGCTTAGCTTTTTCCCAAGCAAAGACGGCCGTTTTTTGGTCCTTCACCTTCATCTTTTTCCACTCGCCATGTGCCATTAGGACCAGAATTATTGCTTGTGCATCCTCTTGCAGCGTGCGTCTACATGTTTTAGTATACTGAATTGTCAGCTCTCCTGCACTGAGCTGGCTTGCGGCATCACGCTTGACCCTGCTTTCTTTGCCACGAATTACTGCACACTAATTATGCCCTGCTGATACCATCACTCGGTCACTCGGCGTGCGTGTCCTTATCGGACCGACATCATCTTGCAAGATAGCATCCAACTTCCAGGCAGGTTTAGACTCCAATTGAAAGAATCCCCAAGGTACCGACAGCTTGTACAGCTTCGCCTTTTTCTCCCATGGCGACATCAGCTTCGCCTTCTCCCATGGCGCCACCAGCTTCATCCTCTCCCATGGCGCCACCAGCTTCGTCTTCTCCCATGACGCCATCACCTTCATCTTCTTCTCCCATGGTGCCACTAGCTCCATCTTATTCTCCCATGGCGCCACCAGCTTCGCCTTCTTCTCCTATGGCGCCACCGGCGCTGCCACGAGAGCTCTACCCCTTCAACGTTGCCAGAGGAGATTTCCTCTACAAAACCGTCAACCAGGCTGAATGGACAAGGCTACCGTCACCAATTGATGACCCGCAACACAACTGCTACGGCATCAGATTTGATGGTACTGTGACTCTAACACAAAAGCACCGCGAACGTGGGAGCATGTGCCGTGTCAAGCTCATTCTCAAGCCACCTATCATCAAGACCGAAGACGAGCAAACCACCGTCGAGGCTGTATGTATTAGAATTGGCAATCCTAGCTTTAGCGCATACCCAGAATGCCATGAAAAAGTGAAAGCCGTCGAGCATGCAAAGACTCTGCCACTTGCAACGCTCGACAAGACAATCACACTGGTGAAGCTGAGGAACCTGAAGCTGAGAAATCTTAGTGTAAGCCGCGAGGAAGCGAAAAAGGCTGACAACTACGAGCTCGGGGAGCGGATATGGGCATTGATAGACTATGGCTATCGGGGCGCTGCTCCACCCGGTCAGACCAAGAAAATTAATTGGACCGTTCTACCTCGACCATCCAGCAGCGGCTCGGCAGAGACGCCTACGGACAAGCGTACGCTGAAGGAGCGGCTGCAGGCACATCAAGTGGCGACGGCGGAAGGGGAGTCGCGGTTGAGGCAGGGCTTGGAAGACGACCGGCAGGCCATGGTACGCAAAGTCACCGAGGCCATCAACGGCGAGTGGGACAAAAAGGTGGCAATGGCTGTGGCTGAGTATCGGGCGCAAACTGCGTCCACGATGGAGAAGATCGTAGCGGAGGGGAACATTTAGGACGGAGAGCGGACGAATCGTCCGTCAGTACCCATGGCTCGATATGATGGATGGCTTCAAGTCAGTGCGATACTGATCGGGAGAGCGGTTCAGGTTTGATATCAATTCAAAAGGGTATTGCTCAAAAGCAACGAAGAGAAGATAGATACAAGTCACGCATTACAATCCGTGTGCACTCCGTATACAGTCTCCAGATATCCACCACATGTATCTCCACTCCAGTCGAAATATCCCCTAGACTCCGTCCCTCCTCAGGAGATATTGTTGAGAACGCTCACGGTTTGCCCGCCCGGAACGCCTCGCTTTCTGTATATCATGAAAACCGGGCGATGTATAAAGGAGAAGTAGAGAGGCCGCCGCCAGAGATCAGGGATCGTAATTCTTGTACGCGCAGCTGCAGAAATCGGCCGCCGGCATCACGTCGTAGCCAGAGGTGACCCGGTCCCCGTTCGATTCGTAGCACGCGGGTACGTCCACCCCGCCGCCGATCGACTGCGTCGCATCCACGGCATAGTTCCAATTGGCAAAAGCGCCGCCCGCGGCCCCGGCCGCCGACGACGTTGCACCGGTCGAGTTGCTCGGATACGATTTCGGCTTGCTGGTGTACAGATCCGCCGTGAACAGAGTGTCGTTGTAGTCGCATTTGACGTTGAAGGACGGGAAGACGGACTTCTCGACCGTCGTGGTGAATGTGTAGCGCTCGTTGTCCGTGCCGGCATCGACGAGGGTGAGCGTTGCGTTTGAGAAGTCGATGGAGAAGGGATTGTCCGTTGAAGAGATGGTGAGGTTGGACGCGGGGTCGGAACTGGAGTTCGCGGCCGAGATGAGCCAGTTGAAGGTGGCCTGGGAGTTCGTGGGGGAGGTGGCGTAGGTGACGGAGGGTTCGCATTTCCAGCTTTCCGGGTTGGAGGTGCAGTTGGTGGAGGTGGTGTCGAGGAAGGTGATGAAAGTATAGGAGCCGATTGGGAAAGGTCCGGCGCTGGGTGAGGAGCTCGAGGAGGGCACCGCAGGGGTAGCGCTACTGCACGGGGTTGTCAGCCGATTGGGATTTTGACCGCTTCCTTTACACCTACCTGCTGCTGTGTTTTTTATGCAGACCGACGGCGAGTCCGACAACCAAAGCGACGAGGCAGGCAATCAAGATCACGGCTACGACACAGATGCGCCGCCATCCACCTCTCCGCGCAACATATGCATTGTTCCTCAAGTCTTCAAACTTCTCCCCCTTGGGACCCTTCACATCCCAGAGTGTATATGTAGGAGGTGATCGTCCGCTATAGCGGGGAGGTTCTCCTAAGAATCTCCGGTGGAAAGGGCGATTGTGTGTTTTCGGGGGGGAGGTGGGAGGCAGTGAGACGTAATTGGCATCTTCTTCGATGATTGAGAGTCTGAGAGAGCTGGTGCGGGAAGCATTTCTGCTGCCCCGACGTACTCCGGCGTTAGTTGAATGACGTGGAAGGGTACGGTCATTGTTCTCTGAAGCCATCGTGACGTCGGTTCGCCGATGACATTGAAACGGGGTTCGGTGTGGCGAGTGGGAAGGTTGAAGGTGAAGGTGGGAGGGTGTTGGGAAGGAGGCTGATGGAAAAGGGAGAGCGGTGATGAGGGCGACGACGACAGCGGAAAGATTTAATTATTGGTAAGGCGATATGAGAGTCATTACCGGGGGGGGGCTAAAAGAGGGCCAAAAAGAGGGCAAGGCTTGTCGTCGTGGCTTTGAGAGAATGGAGAGTGGGATGCAATTTGGGTTCGATGAGCGATGGACGAGTAAGAAGAAAAGGATTTGGTTGGCTCTATTCCAACCGACTATGCCAGCTTGAGTTGAGATCTGACACTAAATTGCGGGATTCTTTGACTCTTGCAGGGGGCTATAGATCTCCGGTGGAATTCATACGTATCTTACTTTACAGTACTTACCTTAACTTCCTTACTTTAACTCATAATATTTATTCCTCATAGTGATAGGACGAGAGGACCAACAATAATAACAATAATACGGTATCCTACTTATTAGTTCATGCAGCTTTCCACCTCGTTCCGACCTTCTCCATCTTATAAAATTAATTGACCTAACCTCCTTGCCTCTCGATAACAAGTTCAAGCGCCTGTACCACCAGATAAAGTACATGAAGCTTGATACGCCAATGCCGAATATCTGCGTGGAAATCTATGCGCACCACATAAGTATGGAGAATTGATCAAGTGATCAACGGGCCAACACCAAGACCCACAATAAATAATTCCTTAGTGACACCCGGTACGAAGTACTGTACTCGGAAAAGAGAAAAGAGGCTTCATGCAAGTCTCCTCTTTTGGATCCGGACCCCACGAATGATCGATATTATCGTCTGCCATTTGCATTTCCCCCATTCTCCTCCAACCTTTCCTCCTTTCCTCCTTTCCTCCTTTCATCATTTCTCCCAAAAATTCCACTCTTATCTCCGAAGATATTTCATCAGTTGACACAATATCTTTCGAAATTCCTTCTTGCCCTCTTTGAGTCCAATGCAAGTTGCTGCCCTGTGATCATTGAAACAATGCTCCCCTTCCGGATGATTTCGTGCATCAACACTCACTGCTATCAGTCGTCTCCTATGAACATGCTGTCTATCTAAACGAATTTACATTCCAGCGATGCTTGCTAAGTTTCATCGCCGCAAACGGATGCTCAGTCATACCATCTGCTTTGTCGCATGTTTCTGTCCATAGCCCCCACAATGGTGGTCGTTGTACTTCTCTTTCTCGTTTCGCTATCCTTTCCGAGCGTGCTCAGCAAGACCATCAGCAGAGGAAGTCTGATTCCACTGGAACTTGTAAACAACCACAATTTTGACCATGCTCCTACCATTTTCCAAGTTACTGTATGTGGCTTAAACCGCTATCAATATTCTGAAGATATAGGGCAGCATATCAAGGGTAGCAAACTGGGGAATACCGAATGGTCCTCTAAGAATGGGCAACGGTCTCTTGCCCGAAGAGCATGGCAATAATGGCATCGGTCCGCAGCGCACCAAAAGGCCAGGTAATAGGTTTGAACCGTACGAGGCCGGCCATGTACCCGGACAAAGACCTCTAGGGGTCTCAAATCTAGGGCTCGAGACACCACAGTTGCCAAGGCAAAGCGAACCGAATAGCAAAACCCCGTCACAGCCTTACGATATCGACGAGGGATACGACTCTGATCAGGTTGAGGCCTACGACGTCGCATGGAATCAAAAGGCTGCGGCGACCGCCGAGGCCAGTGATTATGCAAAATGGGAACCCGCTGCTGCTGAGTTCATCAAGTCATATTCCGGCCTTGGTAATGGTTGGGTAGGGAAGAGACCACTGGGTGCGGGGGGGTTCGGTATGGTTCGTACATTTTGGAGTATTTCCTTTCTTTATAGTGCAATTTCTGAGTTGCAAGACATATGTCCGGACCAGAAGGCTCTTCCACGCCCGAGGCCTGTCTTGCGAGTCTGAGTTTTACCTTTAAAAGGCAACGCTGACTCCAAAATGTGCGTAGGCAGGTCTATGGGAGAAGCGTGACGGCAACGGAACCGTAATTGAAGTAAATGGCACCTTCTCTATGTGACTGACAAATTTCCTGACAGTCTCAAAGCAAATGGTAATTAAACAAATGGGCGTCCGCAAAGGAATATGGAGACCGGAAATGCCCATGGAAGTCAAGATGATGAGAATGATGGAAGAGACCGCATGTCCATCTGTGGTTCGATATATAGCATATAGGAGATTTCTTCATGACCAAGTTCACCGCATCTATATGGAGTACTGCCCTTATGGCGACCTCAGAAGACTATACAAAAGATATAGGAGATTTAGGTTCGTTTGACCACGGGTTGGGATCGACGTCGAGGTACTGAAACTGAGCAGGCTGTACATGCCCGAACCGTTTCTTTGGGACGTCTTTTACCATCTTGTGGAGGCCGCTGTAGCGATGCGGTCTGGGCCAACAGACGGAAGCTGGGGTGGTCACGAGATTGTGCACCGGGACATAAAGCCTGGAAATAGTCCGACCCCTGAATTCTTCCCAACTCTTGCCAATGCTAATTGAGATCAGTCTTCTTGGACACGGAGGGGAGGAAAAGTGGGATTCCTTTCTATCCAAAAACTAAACTGGGCGACTGGGGCCTCGCTCGCAAGACCTATGCCAATGATCCTGATAATCCAAGCAACCTTCGCATGGCTGGAACTCCGGGGTACAAGCCGCCAGTAAGTATATTCCTTACTCCTGCATGCACGCCAGTTCATGAACGATATCAGGAACAAAAAGATCCACCTTTACCTATTTTCGAAACACACCCAGTATCTATCCTTGCACACACTAACGTCTGGGCAATTGGAGCCACGATGTTTGAACTGATGACCTTGCACAGAGTCCACGGATTCTTGCTAAAACCACGAGGCAACATCGTCGATGAAGCAGGCATCAAACCTATCCAGACCGATCGGAACCCTCCGTACAGCTCGCAACTCTCCAAGCTTATCCAGGATTGCCTTAGACCCATCCCACTGGACCGACCAACTGTCATGGAACTACGTACCAAGATAAACCCCCACCGTGATGCCATTGTCAAGCTGGCGCGGGAGCGCGAGGGAGCCGAGACAGCAAGGCCATCGGAAAATGAGAGGCTGTACTATATAGGTAATGAGATCAAGTGGGCAAAGACAGGGGACTGGCAACCACATGAACGCGATAAGGATTCGGATAAATCTGAAAGCGGTTTCGCAGACCCTGACCTTTCCCCCATACAGTATCCAGTTTTCGACGATCCGGGGGAATGATGTATCGAGACGATCTTCCAAGATTTCGGGTGATTCAGAGTCCCAACAGATGGAAGAAGACGTGGCACATATGGGTGAATGGAGGCACACCTTAGAGTGAATCCAGAAGAGCATCTCCGACGGCGAAAGTGTATCTAGGGAATCATTCGAAGAAAGAAAGAATGGAAGGGAGGAATTGGAAGGGGGGGGTTTTCCAATGGGCTGGCTCGGGTCCGTCAAGTCAAGAAGGGATCAGTCACGAGAATCGGACGCTGTCGTATTTCTTGAGCAAGCTTCAATATACAGGCCTTTTCCTTGTCAATGAAGTTATGCAATGGGTCGAAAAACTATCACATCTGACCAGTGAGACAATGTTCGTGCAAGGTGTCGGACCGTATATGAATCCGTAGAGGGACCGCAGTCAACCCTACCCTACCTTCTTCTCTTCCTCCAACCCCATTCCATAACCATGATGTGAGCAACAACGCCACTTCAAGGCATGTGAACGTACCAAAATCCCTTGAAATGCTCAAAGCAATCTTCTTTGCCACCTTCGACGTCACCGAAGGTCTCCTCCCCCTCCACTCCACTCCCATCCCCAACCCACCAAAACCTCCTCAGCTAACATCACCCCCATCAGGCCCCAAAGTCCTCCACCAAGTCCCCACCTCCTCCATAACCGCCTCCCCCTCCTCCCCCGCCATCCCTCTCATCCACTTCCCCCCGATCTCCTCCCTCCTCATCCCGCACCCGACCCTCTGCAACAGCGGCCTCGTGACCCTGACCCACTCCCACCACCGCATCCTCTCCTACCCGCAACACATCGCCTCCCCCCGCTACCCGCGCAACGCCTACACCTTCAACTTCTGCCTCGTGCTGGCCGAGGAGGCGGACTTCAGCTCCTACGTCCCCGTGGTGCGGAAGCTGAACGCCCTCTTCCGCACGCTGGAGGAGCAGGGCCAGTTCCTGTCCCGGGACGGCGCCGGCAAGGTCTACGCGCTGTGCGAGATCCTGCTCGAGGACCTGAACAACTACTCCGAGGCCATGATCCCCATCGACGCCGCCAACACCCTCAACATCAAACTCTTCCCCACCTACCCGCCCCCGCCGCCCCTCCACGCCCACCACGTGCCCCTCGCCACCGTCCGCCTCGCCGGCCTCGTCGACGAGAACTGGGACCTCACCATGCTGCGCCTGCTCCCCTGGATCGACGGCGTCAACAGCGTTAAGCAGATCGCGCTGCTCGCCGACGCCGACTTCAAGCTCGTCCGCAAGGCCATCCGGCACCTGCTCTACTACGGCTGCGTGCTCTTGCTCGACATCTTCAGCTTCGGGGCCATCTACGCGCCGACGGCGGAGGTGGCGGCGTTTGTCGAGAGTCAGGAGATGCAGGCGGAGTGCGCGAGGTATGTCGCTCTGGGGGAGGGGGATGGGTCCAGCGCGGAGGAGGGGCAGGGGAGGGCGTTGAGTGGTACGCAACTGGCGGAGCTCTACCTGTCGTTGAGACAGGGCCACAGTGTCAAGAGCTGGTGCATGGAGCATGCGGACGCGGCGGGTCGGATCGACGTGAGACGCTTCGTCACGTTCGGTGTCATCAAGGGCTTCTTGTACAGGGTGCACAAGTACGCGTTGGCGACGTCGATCCACCGGTCCGGCTCGAGGCGATTGACAAAGGCGAATGTCCATCGGTCGAAGCCGGGGGAGGGGCAGAAGAAGGAGAGGATGGGCGGGGGGGTGGAGAATGTGGATTTGGGGAAATATCTCGACGGCACGCATTGCTTTGACGAGATATGTACGGATCTGATGATTAGTGAGAAGGAGTTGACGGCGAGGTTGAAGGCTTGGGGGGATGTGCAGATTATATGCCGATGAAATTGGCAGGTCCATGGAGCTCGGACCGGAAAGGACGGCCTTCCAGAATTGGACTTTATTCTGTCGTACGTAGGGTCATTTGATGGAGGATGAGTATGTGATGAGTTTTCAGCATGGGCAGTAATCGACGGTCACCGTGAACAAGTCATCGCAGCCATATCAATCATCTCAAGCCTTGGGGGTATCTATTCAGAAGAGCGCCCAACATGACCTCTCGAACCATATCCTACTCCTCACCTTCCTCCCACCTCTCCCTCTCCTGCCTCATCAATGGTTCCATGACTGCGTCTGTAAAGATCCCCTCCCCAGGTCCCCTGACTCTCCTAATATCAGGTGGAAATACAGGCCCGATTTGCGCCTCCCATTTCGCCCTCCGATTCATCAATTGTCTCGCTACATCACCAATGCCCGGTTTGCTGATTCCACCCACAGCACCATTGGCAGTCGAGACACCGCCTTGTATAGGATGACTGCCACCACCCGCACCTCCGGGCCTCTTGGTGTTCTTCTTCGTTTTGCCTAACGTCCGCGTACGTTTCAGATACGCTTGTTGTACTTGGCCATCGAGATCCTCGAGGATGGTTGCAAACTCTTGATAAGCCATTTGTTCCTGAGCCAGCTCTAAGACTCTCTGTTTTCTTGCTCCGTTGACGACGCTCACTTCTCTCAATTTCTCCTGCAGATAACGCAAGCGCTCTGCGATCTCGTCATCGCAATGAGCGTCATAGTCTGGCTCGTCGTCTGGGGAAAGGAAGCCGATGTGGCGTAATTCGGCTTTAAGACGTTCGTCAATTTGGGCGTGTGAGAGATTCTGGGCGTTGGTTGGGGGACGGTCGAATGACGGGAGGGCGGTGGCGGCCGGGAAGGTCTGAGATTTATTGTTGGACTCTTCGGTAGGTGCCGAGTCGTGACTGGTGCCATTAGGGAGGTCGCCATTGGTAAGGGAGGATTCTCCGATACCGTTGGGAAGGCCATTCAGCTGTGACTTCTCCTCTGTTGGTGGTGTACGATGCTCGAAACGCATCGTGGAGAGAAGGCGGTTGAGTAACGGACCGCCAGATATCTGATCTGTTTCCGCAAGCTCATCGTCCATTTGATCAAGGGTGCCGCGAGGCTGATTGGGTGGCAGTCTGTCTTGTTCTGGGGTGTCCCGCGACATGGAGCCGTCTTCCTCAGCCCAGACATCGGTGTAATGACGCTTGCCTCTGCGAGGCATGGCGAATAGAGTCACCCGATCACCCTACATTTTTTCAGCTTGGAATGTGTCTCCTTTCTCCCCTAGACTTACTCGCTCATTTAGAAAACCAATGTCCTCCTCTTTCAACGGTCTCAAATAGTTGTCAAGATAAGCTGAAAAAGTATGAGCAGCAACTTGATTATTTGGTTTGACTGCATTGCTGAAGTCCTTGTCCATGCCTCCTCGAGGGACAGCTATAAGTTCATGGAGATCATCATGGGGGAATGAAGCGACGCAGTAGATTTCTTTCTTTTCTTCGTCGGTCATGCCATCTGTGATGGGTCGGATTTCGTAGACAGTAGGATCATCAAACGTGAGGGGGTTGGGCCCAAAGGTCTGATATTGTGCTATGCTTGCTGCCGGTGGAGGCTGATGTACACTATCAGAGGAGGTACTGGGCGATGGGGATGGTCGGGCAGATTCTGGATTTAAAGGCGGAGGAGCGGTCAATGGTGATGCAAGCGGTGAAGCTTCCGATAAAGATGACGAGCTTCCGCACACTGCATCAAGTTTTCTCTTTCGAGGTGACGGCGTGTCCTTGGGAGCCTGGCTGGGCGAAGCTTTGGGAGTGTCAGCATTACTTGACATCTTTCCGCGAGCTGACTTGTGCATTCTCGCGATCTAGCTGTCTCTCCCTAGTGGAAAGCCCCAGAATTTAACGCTTCAGGATGCCAGAACGCATGGGAAGCCTTGAGTGGGGGAGTGTCGTATTCTCCATTGTCGGACCTTACGACCAAAGATGTGGATGTAGTGATGCAGGGTTGTAGTAATGTACCAGATAATGCAGTGTTTAGGATTCAAAGTGAAGGATAACAAATTGTAGGAAGGTGTGTTGGCGGATAGCCGACGAATCACAGACGTACCTTTGAGTGGCAGGTCCAGCCCATCTTGCCTTGCCAGACCATGTGCCCCATGGGCCAAAGGTCGTTCTTCCCTGACACTACTTCGTTCTTTCTTTTTCTTCACCTTCCCGCCCTTTCTTCCTCTAATCTCGTCATCTTCCTCTTCGGCTTCTTTCTTCAGCGTCTTTAATGTTTCCCTCTCTTCTGCTTCGCGCGCGCGAGCCTCTTGTTCCACCTGCCTTTCCTCGTCTAAGGCTTCTTTTCTTTTCTCGGACAGTGCACGCATGCCAGCGTTGCAAGTATCGCTTCGTGCAGATGCCAAGTCGCTCAACTGTTTCAAGTCCTTGGCCATAATTGTCAGGTGGCTTGGATCTGGTATGCCTCCAGCGCCTCCATGGCGCTCGAGTATATCATCGTAGCTGATATTTGAGGGCACCATGAGATTCCCAATAAGAATATCAAGAAAGGCTGTATGTAATGGCGCTATGGATCCGCTGGCCGAGGAAGTTGGAGTAGAATTGCGGCTGCGGGACTGTCTCCCCTCGCGACCCTTGGATTTGCTCTTCCCTACCAGTGGAGGCATGTTGGGCGTCGCAGAGACTATATCGTGGGACACGCTTGCAGAGGCGGATTGAAACGGTCGATAGCAGAGGTGGGGGCACGGAGCAAAAAGCCGAGAATGAAAAGCAAAACAGTTGAATGTCAAGTTGATGCCAAGCAGATGAAGAGTAGATGAAGAGTTGCGGTGGTGTTGTGATGTAGAGTATTACCTCCCGTAAAGATCCTAATCCAGTAGATAGGTCAGGCAGTCAGTCAGTCAGTCAAAATGTGCCACTTGATGCCATGTTGCTGAGAAGAGATGAAGCGTATTTTTTCACTCAAGATCAGCGAGTAAGAGACAGCAAAGTTGAGGATCTGGAGCTGAGATCAGTAGGTACATGATATTAGGGAAGAGAGTAGAGACACGACGTGACAAGGTTGGAAAGCATTCGGGATGAACCGCATTAGCGCAAGATCTCGGGCCGAATAGTTTTCCGTAAGGCTGAACGGGATCTGATCGAGGGATCAAGGACAAGGAGTGATGCAAAAGTTCCTAAACGCCCGCCTTCGTTCATTCTCCCATTCTATCGTTATACCAACATTCAAAGCATTTGACCATCTAAACATTTAATTTATTCATCCTTTCGTTAATCTTTATTGACATGTTGCTTTTCTCATTCAATTTTATATAGCCTGATAGTGCTCCTTTGTTTGCCTCCCCGGACTATGAGTGTCTGAAGTACAAAAGGGTACTGCTGTCCGAGGTGAATATCGCGCGATGGGTATAGCTTCTACACACTTTCATTCCACGCAGCAGCTAACGTCGCGCAGCCGCTCAATCAGTCGATACTTTCGTCCTTGCCTTCAGCGAACCTGTTCTAAATGAGGCCGAGCCCCAGAGAGCACGGGTCAATGTTCGTTTCCCCTCGCAATTTCCACCCCTTCAATCGACTGAATCAGCCTCTGCTAGGTCAGCATTTCCTTTGAACTTTTCAACGACAATCATGTCCAAACACTCTCCACCAATCAGGCCGGAGGAGACGTCGAAGGGCTGTTATTTGTTCCTGACTTGGATCCGTCCGACCCCTGCTTCAATGCATCGATGCAATACGTCCCAAGTAATGTCACCCGAATAGGTGATCTACCAACCGTGCAATACCTGTACTTGGGATTTGCGCCATGGTTCTCTGCAGACTGTACAAAATCCTACCTTGCCGCCGCCCGTGAGGTGCCAGGCCTCGACGGACTCATATTCTATACCCCAAACAACAGCACTGGTACGCCTCCACCGGTATCAGATGGGACTTGGGACTTAAACGATGGAGGACAATGGAAGTCGGAGAACAAATACCCCGTCTATGCTGTACCAGGCGTCGATGGAGCGATTATTATGCAGCAGCTCGCGCAGTACTCTGGTAATCCATCAAGTCCTAAGGCGCAAAACATCCTCGCGCAGGAGCAACTGGATCCTACAGATTACGTTCGACTCTATACGACCTTCGGATTGAATGGTGGCACCAGTCTGCCCACATTGTGGGCATTTCTGCTAATCGTACTTGGCATCGTTCTCTTCATCATTGGCTTAACATCTATCTCGATGCATTACTATCAGCGACGCAATCGTCGCGCTCTTGAACGCCGCATCCGAAGCGGTGAAGTCGACCTCGAAACCCTTGGCATCAAGCGGTTGCGTGTCTCTCAAGAAGCCGTCAACAATCTTCCCACTTTCATCTATGTCCCCAATGAAAGCAAATCAATTGACACCAATGAGCCGGGGGAAACTTCTTCACGAGCGCTTTCAGAGTCAGCCGCGCCAGCCTCTTCCACACCAGACCACACTCTTTGGGCGCAACCAACATGTCCTATCTGCCTCGATGACTTCATCCCTCGCGAAACCACGGTTCGCTCCCTCCCATGTCACCACATCTACCATCCTGCATGTATCGATCCTTTTCTACTGGCCAACAGCTCCCTCTGCCCCGTCTGTAAAGCTAAAGTGGTCCCTCAAGAGCAAAATGCCTACACATACGAGCCGGTCACTAATGCAATGGTGCGCTACGAGCGTCGAGCTGGAAGGATGAGACTTGCGCGCGAGATGAGGCGGTCACAGACTGGATGGGTTGGGACCCAGGGAAGGGTGAGTAGCGGGCGCTTCAATAACCTCAGGAGGGTATGCGGGAGGGAGAGGAGAATCTTCAGTGCCCCAAGTGCAGCGCCGACAACGAGTCAGATCGAGATGGTCGCCGTGCGGAACAGGGCAGCGTCGAGTCCAATCGCAGCTCCGCATCCCGAGGTGTCGGCAGTGCAGACAAGACCGCCGGCTGACACTACTATAAGAAGAGAATGGATCAGCAGGAGGATGAGTGCATTGGTGGGGCGTGAGCCGACGATAGAAGAGACGGAGGCGGAGAGACTGGCACGGATGCCCAGGTGTATGCCTCCCCTCAAGAACATTGTTTTATAGCCTTGAAGCTATTGCTAACAGCCATGTTTAGGGCGAAGTGCCCTTGGCGCTGTCTTCCCTGGTTTCCGATAACCTCAATCAGTAGCCACGCGCTGGAATATCTGGATGGAGACTTGATTCTTGCGTTTACCTTTCAAGCGAGGAGTTGCGGCATAGCGAAGCACGTTAGCAAGGCGTTGGGGCAATCATGTCAGATACTACAGGAAAGGGGTGTCGTTTGCACATCTAATGGGTGTTTGTGGGGCTTTGTACCTGGGCTAGTGCATTCAGGGAATGGCCTATGTCATTGTACATTTGACTTCTGGATATCTTCCCGGTAAAGCACAGCATTATAGTGTCAATACGGTTTAAATCTACCTGACTCGTTCCCACCATCGGCTACACTCTTTTTCTTTTTCTTCCTCGGCTTCTCTGCTTCCGCTTGCTCCTGCTCTTCACCCCCTCCACCCATAGACGTCCGCCACGCCTTTACTAAACCGTCCTCGCCCGCGGTGAAAATAGTACCGTCCTAAAAGGGTGGTCAGTTGGGCTAGGCATGTACACCTTCGTAGATGATTACCTCATTGTTAACATGAATGGAGCGGACGATCTCCTCTCCGTGCGCGCCTGGAAGCCGAATGGTTTGGCTGGCATCAAATGACCATTCGTCGATCAGGCGGAGAGGTATGAGATCTAGATGTTGCTTGCTACTCGAAACAATATGTCAGGTTCGAGGCAGGAGGGGCGAGAGCGGACCAATGATGCTGACCTGTGTGATCCAACGCCGACGATCGCTTCGACGCCGCCGCTGCCAGGAGGAATGACATCGACAACATATTCAGAGTCCAGCTTTGGTCTCAGATCCCCAAATACCGTCGGCGAAGGCTCATCTGTCGAATCTCCTTGCTCATTGAGATGATACATAGAGAAAGTCTCGTCATGGCTCAGAGCAAAAAAGTCCGAGTTGGAAAGAAATCCAGCATGGTTGATTGAGCTGCCATGGTTTTGTACTTGGACGAGAGCGTCGTCTTCGTCGGAAATAGATATGTCGTAAATGTTGACGAGGCCGTCAGTGCTACCGGAGAGGAGACATCTTGGCAGAGTGGGATGGAATTGCACTTCTGTTACATCGTCGTTGTGGCTTTCGATATAATTCTGCAGCAGTCTGTTTGGAGATCGCATGTCCCTGTAATTGTAATGAGCCCGTCTTTAAATTACTTCCGGGTTTGAGAGAGGTATGAGACCATAGAAGTACGGCAGCTTGAGAATTACTTAGCTCTGTACCAGCAGCAATGTTTGTGCCGTGAGAAGCTAGAGATAAGTATGGAGCATTTTTGTCTAAGAAGCTGGTCAATTTCCTCATGTGTAGTTGCGGTTTTCCTGCGTTTGCTGACCACTGCCAAATTGCATGGTCTTCTGCCCAGATCGCAAGTCGTATCGCCGCACCACAGCATCCCGGCCTGCTGTCAACAATGAATGGGGATGATGGTCCACAACTTGCAAGCAGGTCACGCCATCATGCACATTGTTCAGGACTCCGCCGGCGATTTCTCGCAGGGTTTTGAGATCAAGAAGACGGAGAGAGTCGTCTGAAGAGATTGCTGCAAGATTGCCGTTCACAATTACAATCTTATAGATGTACGAATCTGCTGGGAGAGATGATATTGAGGTAGTCGTTAGGCTGGCAAATCTCATGATGCTGGTCTGTGATCAAAGCTAGGAGGGGATCTGAAGAGACTTTCGAGAATGAAAAGTCCTGAAATCGTTACGCATGTTCGGAGACCTCTTTTGCCACTAAACTCGCAAGCTCCCTTAAAATATAGATGGACTGAGATACAGGCATAGTAAAAAGGAACATATGGCGACTTCCCACATCAACCATCTCAGCCAGGTCCGTAGGAGGAGAGGCTAGGAGCTTCCTTTCTCCGTACGAGGGGTATTAGCGCAAGTGGACTGCCAAGACTGCAGACCTCACCTCGTCTCGAGCTTTCTCCATCCCTCATAGTTGAGCTCTGTGGCACCTTTTCCTGCAGATATTAGCCAACGAAATTAACCACGAATTGGCTTGCCTTGCAAAATGCCTCCCTGACACCAAAAACAGCTTTCTAAGCCCCCAATAAAGCTCAAAGTCCTGCTGACTGTGACCAATGCCTCGCCTGTCCACGCTCTCTCCAGAAGCGTTCAGTGATTCTCAGCATCTTATTCTTACATCCCTTCCAAAACTCATGACAGTTTGATCCTGCTTTCTCTAGCTTCTTCGCTCCTGTAGGCTGCTCATTGAACCATAAGCCGCTCCGATTGAATAGAATGCCATTGCATGCCTTCCCAACCTTCCCCAATCTAACACCTCGTCTCCTCTCTCAGAGACGGAAAGATTCTTCCCCCTTCCGTAACAGGATTATGTGGTGCTCTGGAGCTAATCATCGGATATCGTTGCTTTGACCAGCTCGCCCTTACCCACATATGACCCATCGTCTGATGTTGGACAGTGTCTTTCTTACCTCTTGCACTGACTCCTTATCATGACCATCTGTCAGCCCAGAGGCAGTGGACTTCCACGCCGTCCGGCCTAAGTATAGACGGTCCCACTTTCGACAAAGCTGTCTTTCTCTGGATGCCGAGACGCTTCGGCTGAACACCAACCGTGCATTGGGTCGGACAATCTCATCCAGTCAAAACAGATCGATCTGCGCGAGGATGCTCGAGGACTGATCCTCGTAAATCCTTAGTGCATCCTAACTAGCTCCCACAGACACCTGGTGTTATCTCTTTCAAATTTTCTTTCTTCAGCACCAACCTCGCTCAGCAACAACCATCCCCCAACCTTCACCCTCTGCTTGCTTCTGCTAATACACAGAAGAGACAACAACAACATCAGTCCAACGCACGCAACTCCCAATAACACCCAGCAGCGAGCCATCATGACTCAACCACCTGACTATTCCCTCTTCTTCACCGACGGTGATCAGAACCACCTACCCAACGAGAAGGAGTTACGTCAAGGCTACAAGAGCACAGACGACTATGATCTGACGAAGAAAGCTCTTTCGATTTTTGCAGTCGAGATGGCGAAGAGGCTAGAGACGAATATTGATAAGGGTGAGTCAGAATTGTTATCATGTTGCCTACCATCACAGAAAACGCGTATTGTGTCAATTCCAGTTTCTAGATGATCAATCATCTCGAATCGAGCCTTCTGTCCTTTGAGTGTGTGGCATAAGACCGTCTTTGCTGGTCTTGGTCGCCAAGGCCACAAGGCGCGGATTTGGCCAAGTTTGTTCAAGTCCAGCTCACTCATATATGGTTGTCACGACTGCGAGTCACATGTAAGCTTTCTTATGTTGGAAGTGTTGTTCACGGTTATTGGGCCCGAACGCTGCCACGAAGATGAGGAGTCGGTGGAGAACTATCCTTGTCTTAGTGAGCGATGATTTGTTTCGAGACATCAAAACCACCAGCGGTACTCACGGCTACCTCAGGTAGCATGCATTTCCATGATATTGTTACCATAATCTGCCTCCAATCATGAGTGTTCCTTGCTCTTCCAATATATATAGATATATGTTAAGGCTGGGAAGCACTCGTAGCTAACCTCGTTGATATCAGGCACCATTTACAGCAAGATTCCCACCGGTTATAGTGCGTGGCCATGTCCGCGTCAAGAGGTTAGTCGTCCAACGTCAGCGCAACTTCATCTGCGCCCACATTGACAAAACCCACAGAGATCCAAGATCGATTGGTACATCTTCGGCCACCCTAACCACAAAAAGTTCGATTCTTTCGCTCAGTTCTCTCACCACATTTATTTCCTCCAGCAGCAGCAGCCACCAGAAGACTGTCCATGCAAGGTTTGCTTGAAGCATCCACTCACTGCCCAAACCGTTGTTTACCCGGATCCGGCACCAGCTAGCATGATCAGCCCTTCGGAAGAAGTCGGACCGAAGAAGGACAAGCCTTCACACGCACCGAAAGCACAAACGGATGCCGCACCGTCTTCCAAGGACGCAAAGGGAGGTTCACGTCGTCAAAAGCCTATCCCGTCTGGTGAAGAAGTAGAGGAAGAAGCGCGTGCAGCCTCGTCTACTTCGAAAGCGCTATCGACCAAACGTCACTCAAGGCATACGCGAGAAGAGCTGCGCGCCAAGGCCGCGGCAATCTTTGGTGAGGACTCAGAGGACGAAGCGGTGCCCAAGATAGCCAAACATCCGGCAAAGCGCCGGTCTCATTTCGCAGCCATGTCAGAGAAGCCTTCGAAGCGCGTTCGTACCCAACGCGATGAAGAGGAGGGTCTCAATATTGGTGGTGATGAAGTAGCGGGGTCTGAAGCTGAAAGTCCCAAGGACTCCGATGCAGGAGAAAAGGAAATCTTCGTGCCTGATCAAGATGTCCTTTATCACCAAGAACTCTTTGCCCAAGTCAAGAAGATATACGATCAGCAACTCTTCATCCGCATCAAGGAAAAAAAGCGCTTTGACGAACCCATGAATCAAATGATAGACACAGTAAGTGCAACTTTCCGAGTCAGCTTTTAAGCCAAGAGACTGTATGACTGATTCACGTCAGAACTTCAACACGAAGGAAGAGATTGTCCATCAGATGCTTACGGAACTCCCTCAGCAAGGGTCCTACGTGTTTCGAATCGGTGAGATCGTGGCATATCTTCCAGATGCGAAGACGACCTTCAGACAAGAGCACATAGACGGAGAATTCTGGTTGGAAGACCACGAGACTGGCAAGCTGCTAGGTCGGCCTCCATGGCTTGCAGGTAAGCAATAGACTATCATAATCCGTCATCACTCGTTGTTTGCTGGCACTAAGAAAGCGTGCAGGCGTGGTAGCTCAAGTGCCAGATAGAGTCGTGACTCCGAGGATGCTCGGAGAGGAGCATGGAGAGGAAACCTTTCCTCTGCATCGCTCTAGATATCTGATCGAGCCGCTGCCGGAGATGGCATCTTCAAAAAAGGATACCGGGCTAGCGTCCATCTATGTCCCATTCCGTAACATCTGCCCTTTCGCCTATGCCATCGACATTCACAAAGGCCGTCCGACTTCCAGTTACCATGGCTCAATGTTCTGTGCGATGGAGCGCATGGCGACTCTCTCCTTGGTATATCGACAGTATGTCAGGGCTAAATGGCCACATGCTCTCATGTACTACGGCGGGATCTACCTAGGCGCTGAATTGCTTGTGGTTGGAGACGCTGTACGGATCGAGTCAAATTTCAAGATCAAGGGATGCTACGAAATTCTGATCATCAACTCGATCAAGCTAAGGTTCAACGGTATTCAACCAGAACCCAATGGGAGGACCGTGACTGGGAAGAGGGCTGATTTTCAGCGCCTATATTTCCGTGGTAAGGCACTTTTCGGAATCCTCTCTTCCTGTCTGAGACTGCTTGTTGAGTTGCGAGACATGTTGGGGGAACAAGTTACCCAATTAGCACCCTTTCTAACCCCCGAAACACGTCTTGTTACTCAAATATTTATCAACGAATGGAAATGCTGACTCCGAAATGTGCTAGGACACGGCTTTACTACAGACAAAAACCATCCCCATGTAGGCGAACCAATAGAGGCCAATATCCATCCTGCTATGCGGCAACAGCAGGACGCTGTGAAATGGTACCGCATTGGCAACCCCGATGACGAAATGGAAGTCGACTTCTCCAGGGTAATTGGACGCCTCTTCGAGAGCGCAGGTAGGGTTGGACAGCATGCTCACGAAAGACCTCGCTAACTTTCGGGTCTTCAGTGGTCATGAAATGGTTCGCAAGACTCTGGCACGCCAACATGGAGGCAGAAGCCATCAACTATGGACACGAAGGAGTACTGCAGATGCGTCAGCTCGCCCGAATGAGATCCCCGAACCTTGGATGGGACCCCAATGACAACAAGGGTGAAAAACCGAGGTGGTTTTGGGCGCGTGATCGTGTGCACGCATTGGATCTTATCTATCAGGGTAAGCGCGAAGTTGGCGAAGCGGATCGGATGGGGGGTCTTGACACCCATACCCATGATTCGGCGGAATTAGGACCGCGGAATCCGCTTTCTTGGAGGAGCATCGTGATGAAAGTGGACCGCGACAACGCAGTTGGCTACCCTGGTAAGAAGACAGTTGATCGCCCACGGAAGCTCATTGGTACCGAGACCCCCAAAGACAAGCCCACCAAGTTCCGGTCAGGCCGCTACTATTCGTTCGTCAACGGAGAAACCTTTGACAAATGGACGAGGGACACGGACTCGATCATGGACAATGAGGATCGAAAGGCGAGACGCAAAGCCTTGCAGAAGTGGTGGAATGGGATTTTCTTTCTCCTCTATTGATGGGGTATGACATGGACGACATTCTCGCTTCATTTGCGATCAACATCAGCAGAATTCTCAACCCTTTCAATTACGGTACAACAGGATGCAACACGCTCTTCCCTCAAGTGTCTTCAAAAGACGCTTCAATTACTGTACATTAGCATGCAAAATTTTCTCCCCTCAATAATCTTCAAAGTAACTCTTTCGCAACAGTGAGTTCGTATAATCGAGGCTCAACTTCATAAGCTTTTGCATGTACATGTAACCAATCACAGCCTACCGCCCAACATGCCCACGAAAGCTCCTCTGATACTATTGACCCGAACGAAGAACGAGCGTGCAGCCAAGGCTCCCCCCCCGGCCCCCCACTGCCTTTCCTATTCCATCCATACCGGTGGATCTTTTCGCCATGTTCACCAAGAACACGGATGACTTCGTGGACGAGAAGGATCGGGCGAAGATGTGAGCACCGGGAGATTGATCTTGTAATCTATGTATATTACCTATCGTGGAAAACGGCGTGGATGACGTGCCCTTGCAATCGGCAGAGGTATCTTACGCGAGATGGTTGGTTTCTTTGGGCTTTGGGCCCCCTGCTTTATAGGATAGATCGAAAGGGAGCAGCAGTCCATAACATCCGGGATACATGGATTGAATGGCATTTCCAAGAATCACGGATCCTCCTTCTCTACATATTCAGGCGGCGGTAACTCCTCCCCTCGCTCCATGCTCTCATCCGCAGCAACCCACACCTTGCCCAGCTCCTTCTCAATCTCCTCCCTGCGTCTCCGCCAGCCCTCTACCTTCCCCAGCGTCTCCCGTAAGGATTCAAGCTCTCGCTCCACCCCTTCCTTTTCCTCTTCCGTGCCAATCCTATCGAAAATCCACTCCTCACCTTCTTCGCCTTGGCCAAGATCTAGGTTCCACTCGTGATACCGCTTGAGGCTGACTCTCGTACTTATAGTCAGTAATGTAATGCCTCGTTCCTTGCATCGCTCGTAAAGCAGGCCTTCGACGTCGGAAGAAACAGCTGATGTGCCCTCGTCAATGACTGCATAACGTGGCTCATGATACATCAATCGTGCAAATGCCATCCGCTGCTTTTCACCACCCGAGAGGACATCTTTCCACTCCTTTCTTACATCCCAGCCGTCTTCCCGTTCGGGCAGGTAGCCTAGTCGTACGTCCTCGAGGATGCCTAAGAGTTCATGGTCTTTACGGCCGGAGTCTCGCATATCAATTTCCGAGTGCGGATAGATGACTTGGTCTCTTAGGGTACCGCTGGCGAGGTACGGCCGTTGCGGGAGGAACATAATGCCATCTGTGCCTGTACTACGAGGTCGTGACACTAGACCACGGTAAACAGGCCACAGACCACCTAAGACGCGGGCGATAGATGATTTTCCGGCGCCGTTGGGACCAGAGATCAGGACGTGAGCACCTGGAGTAATGGTGAAGGAGAGGGAAGGGATGAGTGGGTCACCTGGAAGAGGATAGATGGCTGGAGCGACGAGTGGGACATTTTCAAGACGTACGCCGTCGTAGCCGCGATGGAGAGTCCCAAGGATGTCGGAGAGTGAATATGGTTCTGGGGATGTGCCGCGCGGGGGGTAATAGGCAGAGGCGTGGACGCGATGGAGGGTGGAGATGAGGCCGTAGACGCGGGATGTGTAGCCTGCCAGTTCAGAAAGGTCTTTGATACTGTACATCATGCGTCCACCAGCGTCGGCGAGTGAGAGCATAAGGCGTTTATTGGTGATGAATTGTTGCATGCGGCCATGCGAGCGGTTTGCGGGAGGTGAGGATGTGGTGGTTTCTGTGGGAGAGAGTTCGGAATGACCACCTAGACCACCCCATTCTGGCAGAAAGACGGGCAGGGAGGTGATGAGATAGCCAAAGGCTGACCAAGAGTATTTCAGGACAAAATCTTCGAGCATGTTGTAGCGGATCTTGAGACGGTAGATGCCCTCCATCCAGACTTTAAGATCTTTGTATCCTTTGTCAAGGAATATCTTTTCCATGTCTGCGCCACCATAGAATGCCACCTCTTCAGCATTCGCTATCAGTCGTGCATGTAACCCTCTGAAATCTCCTTCTTTGCGTCCTTCCACTGCCTTCAATTTCCCAAATGGTGGTGAAAGTCGACGTAGTGCCGTTGCTGTGATGAAATAATTGGCCAAAAGACCGGTCAGGGCCAGTGGTCCCAAAGATCGGAACAACTGATAGTTGAAGACGAAAAGGTCGACTAAAGGTTTCCCAATAGACGAATAAAGGGAGGCAGCCGAAGCGGTGAACAGGGTCAGATCATTGGTGATGAATTGGTCTGCTCCTTGGCCAACGCCGCCATCGAGATTCAATAGCTTGTAGTAGTTGAGATTGTCGTTTAAATAGATGTCGTGGATATATCGAGTGAGTCTTGTGCGGAAAGCTATGGATACTTTGCTCTGAAGGAATTTGATAGTAGCGTTGGTGTAGGATGCAAAGCCTGGAGAAGTCAATTGACGTCGTAGCCTCTCTCTTTTCCGAATGGAACATACCACCAACACCGCACCACTTGACAATCCCCCAGAGGAAGCTTCTCCCATTGCCAGCTACCAGATCCCTTACTATCTCTCCATCAAGTCTGGTCACCACCAGCGAGAGGTAGGTTCGAAGTAGAAGGAATAGTCCTTGACTGAACAGTAACCCCGACTCTTTACTATTCCAATGCGGGACCATAATGCTCAGAAGACTCAAGAATTGGTGTATAAAGGCGATGTTGAGACCGGGCTTCGTATTTGGTGGAGGAACTTGACCAGCAACCTGCCCATCTCCAAGGCGCGCCGCTCGAGGGGGGTTCAGGAAGAGGCGTCTATGAGCATCGAAAGTCATGGGTCTCGTGGGATATATCTTGACCTCTGCTGTCGAGGAGCGATAAGGCACGATTATTGTCCTTGACCCATCCTTTCCACGCAAGCCAGAATTTCGCCGTAGGAGTCTTTGTCGCTGTGCTTTCTTTCTTGACTCTTGTCTCCACCATATTCGACCTCCATAAGCCCCAGATATAATGGTGATGAGCAAAGCTAGCGTAGCTGCAAGGCGTGTTACTTTTGAGGTTTGCTCGTATTTTGAGCGAAAGAGGCGAGCCCATGGTCCCAATATTGCTAGCAAAGGATCCACAGAATGACGAAGAGTCGACTGAGCTGCCATTGTGCTCTATTCCCGACTGATCCAAACGTGCTATCGTCGTTGGAACAAGGAGGGAAGGGTCCAGGCCAAAGAAGCGCTCGATAATACCATGTTGAATGAGAAAGGCCAATGGGTCTACACTCTATCTTGCCCCACACAGCCTATTCCTCAAGCACGATTGAGTATACAGGGATAAGTATGTGAAGTTGTTGCCCTCTAGTTGAAGTCGCCAATGCACAAGCGCTTCGTTTTCCCCAGAGCCTCGGCTGCGGCAAATCTCCCGGAAAGCACTTCGCCACCTGTGCCACAGGCCCAGCTCTCTTGTCCATGCACATCGACTCTAACGACCATTGACTGCTAGCAATGCCCATGGCGGAGCTTTTCTGCATGTCCTCAGCATCCTATCCATCTGCTGCTCTCTGCTCTTCGGAGCGAAATACATACAGTATAATACGTAGAGGAGCAGACAGCTGAGACAACATACGACTCCCAATGATATACTTACTTGCCTGTTATTGCACGATGCCATCATCTGGATATTTGACCGGCCAGTCAAAATGAGACTGTATTCCACAGGGCATTGCCGGCAAACTAGTCTTACGGATATGATCACCAAGGCTGTCCCTTAGTATGCTTGATGCACGATCAATCCTCGAGATGGATTAGAGCTGCAAAATGGACAAGTAGAAGTCTCAACTTTACGCAGAAGCCGTCTGTTCTTATTTGGTTCTCCTACATTGTTTCAGTTATCCTGATTCGCCAAGAGTCTCTATGGATGAACCAGTGTCCAATTTGTTTCCACTTACTTCTCCTTTGCGCCTTTTCTATACAATTTGAATTCGTGCCGAGTGCTGCTAAGTGACTTATCTCAAGCGCCTGAAGCTGAATGCTTCACAGCTAATACGGAGTGGCTATCGTTCTATATCGCTTGCGGAGGTATTCCTCTAAGCCCTGCGGGTGTACCTTACTTACAGGCGAATACATCCCACGCCTGACGAAGACCTTTGGTGGGATGCCAACTTCGCTTCAAGCCATGCATTGAGACGACCAAAGAGATCATCAGCAACCGCAATGGCTCATTACGCTTGTTTTGCTGGTAAGTTGTTCCATGCATCAAAGGATATCATGGGCCTTAATTTATGGCCTATCAAAGACGTGCGCTTTAACGTAAACGCGTCCATGGGCGCTGCGAGCTTTGTGGGTCGATGGTCGATCGTACTATGGAACGGAACGTGTGGATCAGCATGCAGGATCTATTATAAGAACATTCAGTCTCTATACTTATATTGTGCTTGATTAATCATGTCTCAAGCAACCGCACCTTCCCAGTCCGGGAGACTGCCTAGGGCGTTGAACCGACACTCGGCCGCATTGGCACAACCAAAAGCCTACGGAAAGCCGTCTGCATGTCGTCTTTCAAGATCACACTGTTGATTTGCCTCTGCCTGGTCTCAACCTTGACTGCGAATCCAATTCACAGGATTAGAGAAGTCGACTCTGTTCCTGCGAAAGGTTTTCAAGCCCTACACGGGTCGAGGTCCCTATTTACAACGTCCAACACCAACAGGAAACTTTGCAGTTCGTCAGACAGATCTTGCAAGCTACATCGCAGAACTCGAGACTTCTACATCTGGAGAGCCCGCCCGCTCGAGCTCATCCTTCCTATTCATTACGCAGTCCCAGTGCTCCAGGAATTCTACAATGCAATACTAACACAAGTCAACGAGCAGTGGTCGTTACAAGCCCCGTTACCTAGCTTCTGGATCAAACAAGGCAACTTGGAGCTCTTTTTCCGCTCGGTGGGCGGACCGATACCATGGTCTGTGGTAGCAAGATTTGCCACAAAGATGCTTTGCGCGACGCAGCTGGGATGGCTTGGCACGTATGAGATTATCTACCAGAATGGCGCGGCGAACCAGGCTGTCGGGGTGACCCTGCGGATTGCCAACAATCAGCTCCCATCGCCGCAACACCATCTGACCAAATCAAGGACAGTAGAGGCTGCTGAAAAAACGGATTTGAAGAAGCGTAACCAAATTCAACTAATCTCCTTCAAGGTCCATGACTGTATAGTGCCACTCTCCATCGCGGCACCCTGTGTAAAAGCCTTCTTCGACGCCATCGCCGCTGAAGCTTCTAACGCTTGGACGTCCCGACCAGAAACAGCACTGTTAACCGTGACTCAAGGATCCTTCCAGCTGACCGTGTCGTGCCTGGGAGCCCGAATCCCATGGCCTATGCGTACGTATTTTCGGATTTCATATTTCCTCCTCTGGACCAGATCTTGAGCCTTGAGACACGTCTTGAGAGTCTCTACTCTGTAGACATGTTGCAAGGCTCAACATGCCCTGTCGGATAGGCAATACTGACTCCGAAATTATATTTTAGTCGTGTCCGCTGCGCAGAAATACTCTTCCTATGCGGATCACCTCTGGGTCAACACCTTTGACGCTTTCTACGAAGAAGCCGAGTTCGGTATCACGGTCGCCCTGAGCCTGCGCCTCTTGCAACGGTCGACCGGGCCCCGCTTGACCGCCATCACACTACCCCCGAGAAGGAGCCTCCAGCGTCCAAGCCCGCCCCTACGGCCCCGCGCCCCCACCATGCCCCCGTCCCCGGCGATCAGAGTCACCAGCTTCATCCGGACCGCCGCCCTCGTCCCCACCGCCCTCGCCGCCGCCCAGCTCGAAGACTTCTACACCATCATCGCCACGAAGATCGAAACGGGCCAGCTGGCCCACCGCCGCCCGGCCCGGACCGTCGTCTGCTCCCTCTGGGACTTCGAGCTCGTCTTCTCCTGCGACCGCATCGACGTGCCCTGGAGCTTCGTCCAGGCCTTCGCCATCGACATGGCCGAGTGGTCGTCCAGGCAGTTCACCGGCCTCTACGAGGCCACGGTGAGGGGGGAGGGCCCGCTGAGCGGGCTGGTGTTTGTGGTGCAGATGAGGCTGAAGGGGAAGGGTCGACGGTCGCCGTATCTCGTGTGAGGTCGCGGGTCCTCTGCCCTACCGAGTCCGCCGGTTCTGGCCAAAATCATGGGGGGTTTCCCGTTACCACCGACCTTGTAGACCTTACCCCCACCGAGGATTTCAGCAGCAGCCAGGATATCGTAATCACGTACTGTTGGGGAATCAATTGTATTGGTTACAGATTCTGTTAATGCTACAATCACCTCCATGACTTCTGAACACACATCATGCTATCACATGTCTATGTGCATGAGATTGAAGGCCTCGCTATGCATGCAATGCTTGCTCAATTATCCACCAGACATGCGTGAAATACCGGGTATCTATCCATCTTCAATCTTGCCACTTACTCCTTCATGACCTCGCCCTGTATAATCGCGTCGCTAGGGTGCTTGGTCTCCGTGGCGTGCCCGTTCGCATTAGCAAAGGCACTGCTGTCGTCGAGTGGGATGGACACCCATCCTTTGATTGACCCGTCTGTCGCCAGTATTTTGTGGTCTTGAGCCGACTGGAAGGTCTGATCCCCTTCCGGCTGCTCCAAACCAGGTGTATTAGAGATTTCCAATTCCATATCCAAAGCGGAAGTGTCTGCGACTTTGACACCACTCCTCCTCAACGACTCCAATATCGCGCGAACATTAAGACGCAGTGTACGTTCAGGATCCTCCACCTTGAAAATCTTTCTCGTTGCCCACGGAAATAATGGGCCAAAATCCGACTGCGAGAGATGTGCTGAGGCGATTGGATAGAAAATGTGCGGTTTTGCTTCCAGAGCGGAAGTTTCCCCTACAGGTGACGAGATGGCGCGTTTCGTTTCCCGCAAGTTGGTGGTCCATTTGAAAAACGCCTCACTGAGAACGGCCAAAGGCGGAGACCCACCCCTCGAATTGTAAGCGGGAAGCGGTTTGGACCAGAGGTAGGAAGTCGAACTACTCAGGAGTGGAAGGGTCCAAAGATCTAGGAGGGTTATGGGTGAAGAGGGTGTCACTTGAGAGACTAGTGAGGAATTCGAAGTTGGACGGTAGAGCGGTGCGTAGCCATTGGATGGGTGGGATTCATGATAGTAGACCGATTTGATAAATTGCACCACTGTTGCTGCCCCAAATGAGTGGCCGGACCAGGAGATCTTGCCCGGTGTGTGGACGTCGAGCGCGGAGGCGAACATGGCCAAAAGACCAGGACCCTGAGAAGTTCGGGCTCCAATGTTGTGCAATTGCATTGGATTGCGGTCGAGTTTGAGCAGCACTTCATGTATTGTGCCCAACTCCCAAAGCCGTATTTTCAGCTGCGTGTTCCGGTTCTCATCCACTTCCGGCGACGGCTTGTGGGGAAGAGCTCGGTAATCCACAGCTTTTCGTGGGGATCCATCCGTAGAATGTATAACGGATATCGGAGCACTGCCGTCTCTGTGCTCCGGCGTTACGACTACCATTCCATGGCTTGCCAATGAGCCAGTCAAGTGGCTGTATGCATTTTTCGTTCCCCCCAGGCCGTGTGAAAATACCATGACCGGCCATCGTCCTATCTGTTCTGGCGGAGGAAGGAGTGGCGCGTCTTGCGAAGCGGGGATCGTGGTATGGAAAACGAGGCGGAGAATTGGTAGGTAGCTAGAAAAGTGATATTAGATCCATGGTTCCTGGAACTTGCTGAGCGAAATACCTAAGAAAGGATGCCAGTCGAGGACCAGCGCTTAAGAATTGAGCATATGCGCGGAAATATTCCCCTTGGGGACTCGGTAACCAGTACACGGACTTGGGCTTCGTAGGTTCGCAAGGGTAAAAAATTCGGAAGCTGACAGTGGTTACGTTCGCGTCCGGAGGCGGATTGCTCGTGGGTAGATCTGAGATTGGTATCTCTAGCTCCTGAGTACCGACATTGTAGGGGCCTGTGTAAGCAGGAAAGGAAGGAACAGGGTTTAAGCGGGAGAGAAGAGAGGACATTGTGGGCACGCGAGCATCAATGCTGAGAGTGATTGGGATCTATTAGCGCTATTATTTACAAACAAACTCCATGCAATACTGAAGAGACTGTGGGAGAGAAAAAAAAGGAAAAAGGAAAAAGGAAAAGGAGGCAAATGTAAATTAAGGGATGGATGCAATAATGCCAAATGCCAAATGCCATGGTATCGTGACGTTTTTTTTGTCATCCGGATAGAAAATTTGTGAAGAAAATTGCCGCTCGGGGTTCCCGCCGCGCTTGGCTTGAACAGGGCGCGCCTCGAATATTCGGAGCACAAGACCACTGGGCAATTAATGCATAAACTATAAAGTAAAGTACTGCTCAGAGCCTCAGGCCACTACTGAACAGTGAACAGTGCAGTCCCAACTCTAACAATTCCAGATGGTAGACGCCCCTTCTCGGATATCCGAGGAGGTGCTGTTGCTAGATCGAGAGATCGACTTACAAAGTGGTTACAAGCGCCACGTCTCTTGACTGGCCAATATCAAAGCAAGGGTTCGAGTGGAAACAGGGCGCATCCATTCGCCCCTGGAGGCTGTGGTATAGAATCCCTTTCTCGGGGTTTTCCTAGGTGTTGCCCGACCCTCTACTCCCGGGCACCCGAGCCTTTTGCACTTGGCACTTTGGTTCGAGCGAGCCCAGGCAAAGGTGATTGTTGCCCAGAGTGAGGCAGCTTGCTACTACTATAGTCCATCCAGCGGGACCAAAATTTTGGTTCATTGCTTTAGGTGACTATTCGTACGTCTGAGCCGTCGCTATTGTCGGTCTAGCCGATCAATTATCCTTTCCTTCACCTAATCTACATACGAGACACAGAACCTGGCGACCAGCACAAGCTGCACACCTTTCATCTTTCCCCTTTCCCAAAGTAGAGACCCGCAACCCGTTCGAAAAGCTCCGCCACTGGAGGCAGAGCATATGTCGGACCCACGTCAAACACCTCGGCCAGTCTGTCCTGGCTGACAACCACTGCCTCGTCATTCTCAAGGCGTGGCTCGTAAGTGACACTGCCAAAGTTGGCCATTGTAAGCCCAGCATCCTTGCTGGTATCGCCCTGGGTCAGCGTTCTTTGCCCACCGCCAAATAGGTCATAAAGTCCACGAGTTGGCGCCGCCATATGCTCCGGCAATATCATAGGAACAGAGGGCATCGACTGGTGTGGTGTTATAGATCGAACCTGGGCCGCGGAGTCGATGGCATAGAACCCCTTTCTCCCTGATGCAGACAGTAGTGCTGTGACTGCCCTGGGTAAGGGTGTCTGAAATTGAGGTATGGCATCGGCTGGATCGAAAATGAAAACCTGCGATCGCCGGCCGGTCTCTGCAGTTTGCGGTATTGCGATGGCGAAAAGTGAGTCTTGAGTATCTACTGCAAGATGGCTCAGTGCGAATCGCTTTTCAGGTGATAGACCGTGGGCTGGCAGATCAATACCATACTCTAGCTTGTCATCGACAAGATCATATACACAAAGCTCGTCCGCCAACGTTACGAGATACTTGTGGACGATGCCAAGACCCAGTAGTAGCCCAGCATACAGTCCGGTGTGCACGCTCTTAACCTCTCCCGTGTAAGTGTCAATGATGTAGATCGGAGATGCCATTTGAGATTGGAGGCCGGCAGCAAGGATTGACCCATCCTGCGAATAAGCTAGCTTAGCACCCAGAAGGCCGTTCTCGGTAGAAAGCTCCGATACTTCCAGGGGTGTGATGTGCTGGCAGTGCCAAGCTGTCAGGCTCCTTCCATCTTTGCCCTTCACTACTAGACCATTCCTCCGACGGATTGTTGGCTTCCACGTTTTCACTGTACCATCTTCACCAACAGTAGCGAAAGCAACAGAGCTCGGGTCTGAAACAAGATCAAGCACACGACCCTGATCATAGGGCTCGCCGGAAGGAGATGCATGTGGCTTGTCAATTCTCGAGATTAGCTCCCACACCTTTGTATCAACGTTCCACGACCAGAATTTTAGATATATCTCCTCACGGAAGACTAGCTCTTCTAATACCCTTTCTTGGTTGAAAGCAAAGGATTCTAAATCTCTCTTTGGTGGGATCCATTCATCCACAGAAGCGAGCCATTGCCCATCAGAGCTGGTCTGAATGTGGGTGACGTTAGGCTCCTCAACGATATTGGATTCTGGACCCATATTCAGGGTCGTGACTTTCGTCCACGTCAGGGCCTGCCGCGAAAATTGATGAGCTGCTCCAACATCGAAGGTTTGCAGATAAGATGCATTTGGTGGCGTCATGGACAACTGTTTCGATGCGATCGCAGATGGCACTGCTAATAGCAGACGACCAGGACCAGAGAACGAGACGCAAGCCGGACACCTAGACCTCTGGACTGTGCCCTTCCTTTGCGTCGCTGCAGTCACAGTACGTACAACTGGCAGTGGCAGTTTCGCTTGCTGATCAGCTGGTATCTGTATGCCGGCGATGCTGAACGTTGGTTGAAGTTCAGAGGTAGAAAGAATCATGGTAGAGTTATCGGCCAGTCTGATGCCATAGGAAGATCCGAAAGGAGAGACAACAATACTTTCGACGGCAGCCCCGAGATGAGGAAGATACTGTCGCCGTTCCGTCTCTAGCTGCCAGAGCACAAGCGTAGTCTCTTGACCTCCAGATATGACATAATTGCCTTCACATGTTAGCGGATTCCAATTCTGAACTGGGAAAAACTCACCATCTGCGGACCACTTGACCGAATGAACAGCATTCCTGTGCCAATGCAGTCGCCGAGGAATAACATCTAGTGAGCTCCCTTTGGCCCCACGATGATCTCTTTTGATGAGTTTCCGTAGCAGATCTTCGTAAATATGAATGGAGCCTTTCTGCCCTCCAACAACTATGTCGATGGCATTTGCCATTGACCTTTTCCTTTTGGACATCCTTTGGTCTTTAGACGGTCTGACCCTAACATCCGTACCGGTTATATATTCCGGACACTCGATGATTCGCCACCTATATGAAACGTCTTTCAATGAGGATGATGCAGGTTCGTCGGACGACCCAAACATCAGCTGTGATCCAGATGTAGCAACAATCACACGACCATTTTCTAAGACCTTGACAGATGATACAGCTTGCGGATTTGTGAACAGTGTCTTGACATCGGTCTTCGCGCCATCCTCACCGCCTGCGAGACGATGTACTGAAAGCATCCACGACCCTTGCCCTTTCCTGTCCATTGTATAAACCAGGTCGCTACCAGAATCGCCTAGATTCTGCTTTGCCGTCACCAAAGAGTAGATAGACGAAGATATTCTCCAATGGCTAAGCCTCGAGCCTTCAATCCAGTCCCACTTTTCAATAATCCCAGATATCGTTGAAAGGTAAAGATGGTTCGGCGTCGTCGAAGAGAACGCAAATGCTGATATGCTATCGACTTTGTAAATTCGGAGTTGGCGCACAAGAAGCGATGTCGCAGTCGAATACACAGCGATTGAAGTGCCATATGCAACCAATAGAAACCTGGAGAATACTCTTGTTAGAATACGAGAGAGTACGCTTGTCAAAACGCAGTGACCCACTTCTCGTCCGGAGAAAAGACTGGATCCACATCAAGCATTTGTCCTCCCAAAGAATCTGAGACTTTCCATATCGCTGTCTCGACAGCCTTTTCTTTGATCTCCTTCCCTTTTGGTCGTACAGTCCTGTCCTTGCGCTTCTCTTCATTTGACTTATGCTTTCCCGTCAGCTCCTGACCGCCTTCTTTCTCTATTTCTCGGCTTTCAGGCCGGTTCCTCGATGGGCCGAATTGTCCTTTTTCCAACGACTTCCTCTCTCGTTTTTCTACCAATCCGGTATTATCGTCGCCGTCTCCTGTCTTGATTCCATCCTTACGCCCGGACTCGTCTTGTTGCGGTTTCTCTGAGGCTTCTTTATTTCGCTTTGCAAGCCTGCGAGCGAGCTTCTCATTCCTCCTGTCAGAGGGCACCTGAGCAGGTCTCTGCTTTTCGCTGTGCTTTGATGCCTCAGTGGAAGAAGTTTGGGCTTGTGGTGCTCTCGTCGTGGTCGTTTTCTGCTTCTTGACTTTTCTCGGTTGTCTGGGAGTGGCTGACTCCTCGTCTGCCGTCTCGCGCTTCCTTTTGGACATTGTCGATCACAGAGAGATCTGGAGAGCTGCTTGAGTCACCCTTCGGCAGTCTGCGACAGTTCAATCGTAATGCTCATCTGGACCGCGGGCATTGTGATTTTTCGACGTTGGCTCATCGAAAAGCAAAAGCCACAAGGCTGATGTGATACCGAGGATCTACCGAATTTTTTCGACCAACACAGAGACTCCGATCTTTAACAATTTCACGCCAACTATCGCTCTTTAGAATCTTTCATTCGGCGACGAGGAAAGCTGATCACACAAGATGATCATTCCTGTCCGCTGTTTCTCGTGCGGCAAGGTATACAGGCGCCTCAAAAATCAGGCCTAGGGATGCTTTGTCTGACTCTACGTTCTAGGTGATTGGGGATATGTGGGAGAGCTACCTTAGGATGCTAGACGCAGGCATCGCAGATGGGTGAGGAAATTCTTGGCTTGTTGCCGTTTCTTTAGAGTCTGACATGGTCCGTAGCGATGCCATGGACAAGCTGGGATGCAAGCGTTTTTGTTGCCGGCGCATGATCATGACACACGTGGATTTGATCGAGAAGCTGCTCAAGTCAGTCTGTGAGCATTTAAGAATAACGCCTGAGCTGATACGTTGCTTAGATACGATCCCTCGGAGCGAGCTAGACTGAAAGCTCAGGGAACATGACAGGACTCTGGAAGGAAGAGAACGGTAAATCGAGAGACATTACAAGGATTTCATCAGGGAGGGAAACGAGTGCTATTACACAGGCGTTGGAGCTAGCATGGCGTATCCCATCAGGCGCTTCGACTAGGAGAGGGAGCGTTCAGACTCGAGTTTGCAGCAGTACCCTTGGTGTTAGGTCAGCACCAATCATACGATTGTGATACTTGGGGAGACCCGTCCATATTGCCGATACAGAATGGTCCCAAGCCTTCAAATACTGGTATTTCTACGAAGAACAAGCCATTGTCCCTAGTTGCCATAAAGTTCTGATCGCAGCTATAAATGGTGCCGAGGATTAGCCAGCAATTTCTCCGCATTTACCATTTCTCCAAGCCACTCATTAAGGAACTACACCTGAATGCACACCCAAACAAACCGATACGATGATACTGAGGGTACGCAATCTCCGAGAATTTACGCGAGCTAGAGTCCCAGGCGTTTCCTTACCCAGAAATCCAAAGCGCCGGGAGACTACATCAACCTCTGCACATCCCAGCAAAGCCGCTGGAGACATATCGAGTGTCTTCCCTTCCCTATCTGGCATTGACAGTCCGCCATTGCCTACACGGTTTGCAGACTTGAAGAGACGGCTAATACAGGGCCATGAAGACCGCGTGAGAGACAGCTGGCATCGGTTGCTGGCAGATTTACGCAAGGAAATCGATGTTATTAAGGCATTGGGCTCGAAAGTCATACCAGAGCTCGAATTTAGGGACATGCACAACTTGGGGAAAAGGACGGAATTTCGTGATGGCCTACACAAACGAGGTGTGGGTCTCATTAGAGGCGTAGTGTCGGAGCGGGAAGCGTTGGGTTGGAAAGAGCTGTTGAAGAGATATATCCAGACCAACCCCTCGACGAAAGGTAGGCAACCATCTCGTCTCTTTCATATTGTGCTGCCTCTATTGTTTGCGTGCTTTGAGTTCCTGGCCGAGGGAAAGGGAAATGCACTCTGATCTGTCACATATTCTGGGCTTGAGGCCCGGATCCTTGTTCGCACTCCCGCTTTGATTCATTGATTGAGGCTTAGAGGACGCGACTCTATCTCACAAATGAGCATCGAGTCATAAGCTCTTGCCTCATAGTTGCGCCCAAACATAAATTCGAGAGCTTGATCATCTCTACGATATTCTCGTTTCTACCAGTTAATTTGACCACTTTTTCTCCACTTTTCTGTGTCCATGTCTCATTCGATTTTAGGGTTTCCGGCCAGTAATCTCGCTGTATACGAGCTCTACTGGTCTCCTTCCCAAGTGCTCGCCCGCGCTCATCCCAACCTTCTTCGAACCCAAGCATTTCTCATGTCTCATTGGCACTCTGTTAACAAGTCTGCCCGGATATCCACCTCTCATCCGGTTGCGTATGCTGATCGCCTTCGTATACGGCAGCCCGGTGATGTTGAGTTTGCGCTTGGTCCGCATGTTGACGGTGGGAGCTGCGAAAGATGGGAAGAGAGCGGGTATGGTAAAGGTGGGGTTTACAACGAGGTTTTTCGGGGCAATTGGGAAGCCTATAACCCTTGGGAGAGTAGCTGTCGATTACCTGTTGTCTCTGATCTCTATAACGGCCCAGGGGGTTGTTCGATGTTCCGCATGTTCCAAGGCTGGCTGTCCATGTCTACCACTAGCGCAGGGGAAGGGACCTTGATGGTTAATCCGCTACTGGGAAAGGCAACAGCCTACTGCTTGCTTCGACCTTTCTTCCAACCGAGAAGAGGTCCCACAGAAGCGTTGGGATCAGGTTTCCTCGATTCCAACAATTGGAGCCTAGAAGATGAGACGACCTCAGTGTTGCAGGGGGCCGTTCCTTCTAATTGTCAAGAACTCAACGCGGCTTTACATCCTCACCTTGGGCTCGAAGATACCATGACACATGTCCCAGAAGTCAGACCAGGAGATTATGTAGCATGGCATTGTGACAGTAAGTTCGGCATTTGACAGTTGAGAACTCTGGTGATTCGTGCTGATGTTCTGGATAGCGATACACGCCGTCGACAAGACCCACGCTGGCAAGGAAGACTCAAGCGTGATGTATATCCCGGCATGCCCGCTGACGGAAGCCAACGCTGCTTATCTGGTGCGTCAAAGGGAGGCGTTCTTTGAAGGTATTTCTCCACCTGGTACCCACCAGACAAGCTCTATAAGCTTACTCATCTGGCCATGTAGGAACGCCAGGTCCAGACTTTCCCTCAGGCGTAGGTGAGAGTCAGCATCTAGGCCGCTTGACTCCAGACTTTGTCATGCAGAATATCGATATCGAGGCCCAACGTGCTATGGGGCTCACGAGATATGATGCTGGTCAGAAGGGTCTGCTTGAGCGAGAGCGTCAGACGCTGCAGAGGGCAAATGAGCTACTGGGATTTGACTCGTAGACTGCTAGAAGAAAAAAATTTCTCGTCGTTCAAGAGTAAGGTAGGTTGTTACGTCCTTTGATCCCGAGTTTGCAACAGCCTGCAGGGACGCCAAGAAAAGGAACCAGGTCCGGTGGCGCTAGTGGTAGGGCTGAGAGGTGAACCTCTACTGCTGGCGCGTGTCATTTCTGCAACCTTTGGGCATCTTTCATCGATTGAGCGAATGGTCGGTCTTCTTGAAAATCTCCAGATTGTATGCTTCATGTTTATTGTCTTCCTCCTGATCCATGCCACTACCAAAACTTCGTGCTGCGGCGTGTCACGTCTCTCCGGTCTTCCTAAACGCTCGGGCAACAACAGATAAATGTATTTCTCTGATCAATCGAGCGTCTCGAGCGTCTGCAAACCTTGTTGTGTTTCCTGAATCCTTTATTCCAGCTTTCCCCATCTGGAGTGCCCTTTTCCCACCAACGGACAACCAGTAAGACACTTTTCCGAGGTTTTCTTCCGATTCGAATCTCCGATTCGAGGCACCAGAGTTGCTGTATATGCAGATTGCTTGTTTTTTAAAGTCTTCTATTCTCGAATATGTCTTATGACTCGAAAATCTACCTAGACAAGGGAATGCTGACTCAGAATTGTGATAGTGACTTTTTCCAACGTATGGTCGAGGAGTCCGTTCATATGCGAAGCGAAGAAATCAAGGCCATCAGAAATGCTGCGAAAAACACTGGGATGGTGGTGAGTGTTGGTGTATCTGAAGGATTTAAGACCGCCACGTTATTCAATTCCAATCTTATCATTGGCGCTGACGGCGAAATCGTTGTCCATCACCGAAAAATGGTCCCAACCTTCTACGAGAAGCTGACCTGGAGTCCTGGTGATGGATACGGTCTCAGACTCGCCATGACGCCCTTTGGAAACATCGGTGCTCTGATATGTGGAGAGAATACCAATCCCCTAGCTAGGTACGCGTTGATGGCATTGGATGAGCAGGTGCACATCTCATCTTGGCCCGCTGTATGGCCCACAAGGCGCTCGAAGTCTGAAATTGGGAAATCCAATGGTCCTCCAAATGGAAATTACGATAACGTTGCGGCGAATTATATCAGATCAGCTGCGCACTGTTTCGAAGCGAAATGCTTCGGAATCTCCTGTGCAGGCCATTTTAGCAAGGAGAATATGGACGAGATCGTGCGTATCTCGGGGGATACTGGTTGTTTGCCAACACTGCAGCGAACACCCCGTGCTGCAACCATGTTTCTGGGACCAACTGGCAGCTTGCATCCATCATTTACAATAGACGAGCATACCGGTGTAGTGGAAGCGAAGGAAATGATCCAAAACGAAGAAGACATCTTGTATGCGTACGTACCTTTTGTGTCCCTATTTTCTTCTGGGGACGATATCTTGAGTCTTAGGGTATGCCTTGGGAGCTTTTACCCTGGAAATTTGTTTCAGAGCTCAAAATACCCTCTCAAGTTGGCAATGCTGACTGCAAAATCGTAATCAAGTGATCTGGATATAGCCGACTGTGTGGAGGGAAAGCAATACCATGATATCGCAGGCGGTTACCAGAGGCTCGACATTTTTGATCTCAGGATCGATCGCAGTCGTAAACCAGCCATAAGCATCTTAACGCCAATGGCAATCCTAATTGATCGGGAAAGAATGGCCTCTGGATCCGCGACAACGTTTACACCTGATGACGGTGGCGGATCCTCCGAAGGATTTGGTGCGCGCAGACCCTCTGCGCCACCTTGGCCGCGTCTTCAAATCAAACAGACTTCTCTGAACCATGAGGACGCAGCCAATAGAAAAGAGACCAGAACCGGAAGCTTACCCACGGGTTATGGAGAAATAGACGACTCTTTGGACCTGAGGCAGCTGTTGCAAAACAAAAAAAAGCAAGAAGCAGCGTCCGATCGGCCAAGGGAGCACCAGAATAAAGATGAAAAACCACCGATGAAAATAAGATACGTTTCGGGGAATGATCCGATGGAGCACCAGGATAAAGATGAAAAACCACCGATGAAAAGAAGATACTTTTTTCGGACTGATGGGTAGGATTAGTAAATGCACTGATGGCAATGTCCAAGCATCTAACCGCCGTATCAGCACCGCTGCAAGCCGCACGAGTAGGAGCAATGACAGGGAAATGGCCTTCCGACTCCGTGACTGGCATGTAAGTCAGAACAGATGATGTATCAGCGGGCAACGATCATGGCCGGAGCCTGCTGCGCTATCGCAGAGCAAAGAGCATCAGTTCTGGCCAGTACAACACCTTTTGGATAGGGAAGACGCATTTTGAGACGTCGATCTCCTCAAGAGGCGAAGACTCTGGCCGTTTGGGATGTGGTAATCACATTGTGTATGCGCAACATTTTATGACTGTCAGTCGAACACGAGCTGGACTTGTGCCAGCATTGCCTGAAACAGAGATAGCACCCAAGGAGGGATGTGCCAAACATTTCCCAGTTCCAACCAGCCCTCAACTCGGTTATGAGCTCCTGTATAAGTCTAGCATTTGTTCGTCCCCAGTATGCTGAATCTTTCGCTTCCGAACCACCCCCAAGACCCTCTCTCTCCTTCCCACACCACCCCATTCCTCCCAACCAATAACCACCTCCCCACACTCCTTCCATCCCAACTTCCTGCTAAACGACAACCCGCCGCACTAGCATCCATCCGGCACTCTACACACTCCCTGTCAGCGTTTGTCGGAACCGTCGAAGCGGCGTTTGTACTCTTCGGTGCCGGACTCCACTCCTGGGTTGAAACGCACGTCCCAGTCGCCTCGCTCGTTGATGTATGATCCGCAGTTGGGAGAGCCATTGCGGCGCTTGAAACGAGCTGGCAGTTCAGGCCTCTCCCGCCACCATTCTTCGTCGCCGCGCTCGACTATGATGGCATGACTATCGCTGTTGAAAAGTGGAGTGGCCACTGCTGCCGTGGCAAGAAGGGTGAGAAGGACGGACAGAGAGAGCATTTTCAGACCAATACTTGGAAGGTGGTATGAATGCTGGGTATAACGGGACCGACGGTGAGCAAAGGGGACGCGTGTGTATGGAGCCTACTCGGTCCTATGTGAACGTGATATGATGCAGAGGGAAGTGGACGTTGCTCTGTGGTTGATGGCCTGTACTTTATACATGACAATCGCTTCTGTATATCGATTCAGGCTGAGGCGTGTGTTTGAGGTTCATGGGGCTTCTGTATCAGACCAACCTGGCAGAGTTGTGTTTGCGAATCTATTCAATTCCGAACGTCAGCTACGAGAACCATGCACCTGAGTACGGACCGATCAAGGACTACCATTCGCAGGCGTTCTAGGCGCAACACAGTCCGAGAGGCGTCGAGGACGAGTCTACGAGCCCATGTTCTTACGGCTTTCGGGCTTTTTCCAAGTCAGCTTCATCTGTCGCAGAGGAGAATGATCAGCATCGAACACGCTCCTCACGAAGTGTTACTGGTGACCGAAGCACGATGAGACAGCGATTGCTACCCGGATCAGTATCGTGCTCGGGTAAAGGGGCCAGCTATATGAATCTTGAAGACCTTGTGGTGCGCTATAATCATGGATCAAGTACAATAGGGACATAGCCGTGCCATAAAAACCTCCTTGAGCGTCTGACCGTCCGAGCGTGCAACATAGAGTATAGGAATGTCGCGTTTCACAGCTTTTCCCGCTTACATGCTACTTGGCTTCTTCGGCTGAAGTCCAAGGGCGCTTCTCCAAAGCTCCGACCGAGACATCCCTTCCGATGTTTAAAGAAGCTGCTCAGCCATTTTTGAAAGTGCGAGTCCCGTTAAACAAGGCAGAGCGAGGGAAATATTTCCGGTGCTGGTTAAAGCGATGGAACTGGTTATTCTCGTACTGACTTGCAGGTTCGGTTACCTAACATGTCGATCCGGTTTTCATTCGCGGGAACGGAGAGGTCTCTTCTGCCGTGCTAACGAAACTGATTGATACGGTGGGAAGAGCTCTGAACGAAGCATTATTGACCAAGGTAAGCAGCGAGTCTGAATCGATCAGCTATACTCGGTCAAGGAACGGTTGCGAGTATTTAAGCAACCAGATAAGGTTATTCGTCGGAGCCATATCGAAACCTCTGTAGAATGTCTGTCGTGTGATTTTGACCCCTAAAGGCAAAACATTAGGCGCGGGAGAGCTGGGGAAAAGCTGGGGTAGACGAGCTGTGTCGCTCGATGTCGCGCCTTTGCTGAAATTTGTTACATCGAGAGCTGAAGTCAGTGATGCTAATGGAAGAAGGCGATGAAACTAAAAGGGTCATCAAGTATTTCACAGCGAGACCGGGAGAAAGAGAATGCCATGGTGCCACCAGCACTATGCAAAGTAATGGAAGTATGGCTTTTTTCCTCAGTCTTACTCAAACTTCAGGGACTCTCGCTTCGTTCTCGATTTATTGGACCCACCGGTCAAACTCGACATCTCGGACTGACACTGGCTGAGGGCCATGCACTTGTAGCATTCAGGCACTTCATAGCTCCATCACCTTTCGTCACATTAGCTTTACATGGTGGTAAAGTCAATGTATTGAGATGATGATTTTCAGCGTCCGGAGAAAGGTCAAGTGCTTGGCTACGCACAGGTGTGGTGAGTGCAGCGTGCAACTCAATACAGCGCTAAGCCAAAAGTAGGGAGAAAGCTTCGCCCTTGGCCACTGTTGCTGAGTTCGGGCGTTTCGTTTGATGCAAAAAGTGTCTTCGCAGACATACCTTCAGTATTACCAGCAGAAGGACCCCAGAAGATCTTGAGCCTCAAGTTTCTCTAGATGACAATGATCAGCTATTCAGGAGAGACATTGCCGGAAACACGACAGTAACGGAAGAGCTATATCGATTGATCCATAGCTGCTATTAAGTTTCTTGCGTCGAAAAGCACTAGAGCTTTGTTGACCTTATGTCGAGAGTTCCTTTCCAACGACTGGAACACACATATCTTTGAGCCGCCCGTGATATCGTACATTGTCGTTAGTACGCCCAATCAAAAGGTGAGCCCCAAAGGAGTACACGTGGGCGCCTTTCGCTAAGACAAAAAAAGAATTCGCTTTTGAGACGTAAGAAAAAGGTGCGCACAAATTCGAAAATTCTTGAGAAAGATTGGCAAGGACGTGCACCAACTGATTTTTAGTGATGCCTTTCATGTAAATAGACAACAGTGGTCCAACCCTGACAGCACCAGGTAGTCATCGCATGCTCACACCACGGACATTTCACTGCTGTCTCCAATCTTGTCCCTGTTACCTTGCCCTTGCCTTTGTCCCCAGCAAGGTTCTCATCCTTATGCAGCTCTTTCGGCAGAGCCATCGCCTCGTAGAGTTTACTTGGTAGGTCATGCCAGAACTTGCATTTGCAACAGATGACGAAGAGCTTGGCGATTGGTTTCGCCTCCATACCCTCCGCTAGAGCGCCTTTGCCGAAGGAGACAGTACCAACATCTGTGACGGATCGATTGAATGTTCGTCCCGGGACAGGAAATTGAGAAGGTGTGCGGAAAGGCGAGCGAGGTATGAGTTCCATATCTGGAGCATGGGAGGAGACCGGTGGTTTACTAGCCATAAGTTTGATGGTGGCATAGTCTTTCGGGACAGGTGGGAAGCGATCTTTCGCGACAGGTAGGAATTGAGGTTGACGCTTGACAAGTGGCTGATGTTTGAGCTGGGGCAGGAAGTCGAGTGACGGCAGGGAGTTCGTGGCTGTGGTTTGGGTTTGTAGCTGAGGATTCGAGCGAGGACGCTTGATTGATGTCTTTCGTACTAAACCTTCCTCAGTTGTACTCTCGATGACGACTTCTGGAAGGGGTTTAGTAGTTGGAATTGCCTTGCTAGTTGTAGCTTCTGGGGCAGAGGCGTCTTTGGCAGCAGGTGGTGTATCAGGTAGAGCCTTATTTGTGGTCACGGAAGTCATACGTTTTCCGTGCGGGCTCTTTAGCTCGGCTTCAAGATGCAGCTCCCTACTAGCTTCATTGCCTTCGGCCTGCTTGGCGGCCTTGTTGCTTGACATCACAACGGGCTCAGTCGTCGATTTAGGTGACGTTGGCGACGGTAGATTATCACTCAATACCATAGAGGATGAAGTGCGACTCTTGGCATGAGACTGCATGGGGTTGGGTTCCGGTAAGCTCTCTCTGGGCGGACTGCGGGGGGAGCTTTCAGACCCCGTCCTGACACTCGCGTGTACTTGCGTTGGTTTCGTGTCTTGGGACATACGTTCCGCCTTTGAACGTTTCCCAGGAGGCTCTTCAACTATCGTTACAGTGGGAGGGACAGATGGAAGGGCTACCGTTTTACTCTGAACATTATCTGGTACGGAGATCTTGGAAGGTGCCAATTTCGAGCGCCGCCGAAAATTAAGGATCTTGTCTGTCTTTAAGCCTGGAGCTGTTTGGGTCTTGTTGAGCGAGACTGAATCTCGGACCAATTGTGAACCTGCACGAATTTCTGTGTCATCTGGCCCTTTTTGAGTTGTATTTGTATGAGCTGGCTTTAGCGAGCTGGAAGGCGCGACGTCCGTTTGCTGCTTCACCGGAGTTTGCTGCTTCATTGGGGACAGCTTTATATCCGGCTGCATCGCAGAGTCTCTGGTCATAGGACTAACAGGAACACGGTCATTAGCGATACCAGGTGTAACAGACACGGTATTACTATGCTGCTGACGAGTATCGGGCGCTCTTAACCCCAATTTTGCTCGCTGGCCATCCTCTCCGGCGAGTGCCTCAGACTTTGCCGCCATATCATTCGCATCTTTAACTGCCTGCTCATCTTCAAAGCCTGCTATCGAACGCTGCTGCTGGTACATGCGCTGCTTGTGTACATAGCTACTCCCGTCGTGAGACGACCTCGTCTGTGGACTCCGTGGAGATGGAGGATTTTGACTTGGCCTCTGGTGGTGGCTTGCCATGATGGCCTCCATTTCTCCCGCCAGGTCATCTTGAAAGTTGGGGCTTGCTTTCGGAGAATGAGCTGAATTCCTACGTTCTCCAGGTGGATCCTTCTGTCCGTGGTTTTGTCTGGGTTCAGAACTATCTTTCCTCTTTGCTGGTGGGCGTTGTGGGCTCCTAGGCACTGACTGTTGTGAAAAGGTTGCAAGATTGGGTTCGGTTACACTTCTGCTGAAGGTCGGAGTAATTGCCGCCTGCTGTATTGGAGGTTTTGATCCTTGCTGTGCCTCTAATTCATTGGGTTTGGGGTGTTCGAGGTCAGTTGGAGAGCCCTCAAAACGATAGGCAAAAGATATGACTTCTCTCGCGTATGCATCTTCGCTTCCCCAGGAGAGTGATTTGTTGGTGCCGGATGAAGTCCTTCGGGAAGACCACCCAAAGTTAGGAATCTTGGGGGCAGCCGAACTTATGACTGAATGCGACTGCCCTGAACGACGAGCAGGATCAGACGCTTCCTCCGTGCTGGTGGCAGGCGTCGATCTTGAATGCGACTGCGAACCCGTAGAGCCGATAGAGATTCCAGAGAGCCTTTTCTCCTCGCGAGAAGACCGTCTTGTGTTTTCGCCTGAGGATGTATGGGAAGACATCATAGACGCCCATGAATTCCTCCGCAATGCTTGGGGCATCTTTTGAGTCTCCATTGCTGCTGGGGGCGGCTTCCTGCTCAAGCGCTTTCCCGCTTTGATGTCTGCCGTCCTTTGTCTCTCTTGATCTTGCTTCAACCTTTTCTCAATCTCTTTCTGCTCCTTCTCCATCCTCTTCTTCTCCCTTCTTTTCCTCTTCTCGCCATGATCGGACCAGCTCGGAGACAGGCATATTTCTATAGGAGTAGAGTCCTCCTGGTCCGTCGAAGTGTTGGTCTTCAATTGTGCTAAAGACGGCATTGACTTCCCCGATGGTCCTCTGTCAGTTAATAATGAAGGTAGGGTTTGCGAGCGTGTGGTGAGAGAAGGGCGCTGTGATGGTTGAGGCGTGGGCAAAGGAGACTTTGGCGTCGTTTTAGCTGAGGGCGATGCTTGATCAGAAGGACCAGAGAATGATGTTCTTTTCAGCGAAAGCGGGATGGTGGGACCGGCGGATGAGGATCGTTGTTGCTAAAAAAAACCTACTCAGTACGTTTGCCATTCAAAAGCCTAAGCGGACTGGTGTAGACAAGGGTTTGTGAAGGCCGTGCGTGCCATGGCAAACAAGCCGTGTAATCCAAGAAGGGTTTGATCTACCTTGCTTTGCTTCTCCATTTGGAGCATGCGAGATAGTATGTCTTTTCCCGAAGACATGCGCTGCGCAGGCCGTGCGGGCTGATGAGCTGTGGCCATGTTGTAGGAGTCTTAAACAAGAGACATGCCAGGTTTCAAGAAGACGGGGTTTTCTTTTCAGGCTCAAGAAATGGGTTTGATCTGAGCCAATGGGTGAAGGAGCAGATATGTAGGCGTGCCTTGCTGGGACGATGCGTGCAAGGAATGAAGGGTGTGAAAGTCGCGAGGCTAAACGAGCGAGTGTGGGGATGTGTGGAAAAGGCAGAGCATGTTGGTGGACTGCATTTGGTGCATGTAGGTAGGAGGTTTCCTTTCCTCTTTCAGATTTTTGGGATTGAGCCGCAAGGGAACGAGTGGTTCGGATGTCAACAAGAGTCGAGTCCCGCACAGTGTACTTCCGAAAGGTACATCCGACTTCCGCTTTCTGTCAAGCTGGACTCAGGGTATTGGAAGAAAAAGTCCGATGAACTGACTGATGGAACAGAAGAAGAAGAAGAAGAAGGAGAAAAAGACGAAAAGAAGGAGAGAAGAACAAG